GCCCCCCTACCTCATTTTCTGAGGCACTCCCATGGCACACCCATGTTTCTATCACCTCAGACCATGCTCAGTCACAAGATGTTCCTCTAGCTCTGATGATAGTCATGAGAAGTCTGCATTAATCCACACTATAACTACTTCCTCCTTCACCACCAGGTCAAGTCCTAGCTTATGGTCAAAAGCCTCAGCATTGTGAAGTCGGTCAAAAGCCTCAGCATTGTGAAGTCCTCTCAAAGTCCGCTTCCTGTCACACCCACAGAGCAGTTAGCTGTTCACTTCTCCAAGCACCTTTGCCATTCATTACATTGTCTCCTGAACATGTAGTCCTGGTAGAACAGGAATAAGGTTGCTGTTGTGTGCTGTGGAGTTGGAACTGACACATAGCCGACCCTCCAGCAGGTCTTCAGAGACAGTGAATCGTATGGGGAGAGAGTGTGCATCTTTCTTCCTTGGAGCAGCTGGTGGATTTGAACTGTGTGCCTTTGGATTAGCAGTGCAACCCTTTATGTATCCATTAGGCCACCAGAGCTCCCTGAAAAGGGATAGTATATGGTTGATTCTTGATGTACAGCACCTAGAAAAAAAAAAGTACTTTACTTTATGCATAAAATGTGCTCCAGAAATGTCTGATTAAGAAACCCAAGGTTTACAAGCTATTTACATAATGATTAAATTTTTTTTATTTGATTAATTGTTCTTACTCTGAAAAGGGCATTGTAATAAAACCCATTTACTTCTTTGTTGTTGTTAATGAGTTATGATTTGCTGCATACATTCCATAATGAAGGGAAGAAAATTCAAAATTGTACATTTTCTACAGTGTTCTCCATTTCCAGGAAAAGAACATTAAGTTTTTATGGAGTCTGTTTTCAAAGGAGAAGACATATTCATATTGACCTTTACATTCCTCTGTTTTATCTTATCATGAAAAATATGCTGGGACAGTCGGAGCAAAGGGAAGGTCACCCTTGTGACAGCAGTTTATAAGGTGGAATTCCTGGTCATACTTCTTGTTCTTTAGTCAAAGCTAAACAGAAGACCTTCTTCCTGGAGCATGCTCCCAGCTTTTCTTGAAAGCTTTTTGTGGCTAATTCATTGGTACCGAGAATCCTCTCTTGATGCCCATATTTTCCTTAGGGTCTTTTTTTGAGCTTTACCTCCTTAATGAAGCCTTCCCTGATTTACCAACCATACATTGCTCCACTAAATCCCATAGTCCAGGGACCTGGTTCCAACTATTGTCCCCAAGGGTTAAGGGATGCATGCTTAGGGCTCTGCTAATTTCCAGCTATGGCGCTCTGAGAAGGTTGTTTAGTTCCTCCATTTTATGAAGGGGCAATCGTGTCATATATCTCAAGGTTCTGTTACGATGAAATGAGGAGAGATATTAGTTCTTCTGCTTGTTCTTTGCTGTCGGATCAGTTCCAACTCCTGGTGACCCTACGTAGGGAAAGTAGAATTGCTCCATACTGTTTCCAAGGCTCTGACCTTTGGAAATACATCCCCAGGCCCACCATCTGAGGTGCTTCAAGGTGAATTTGAACCATCAGATTTTTTGGCTATTAACTGAGTACCCTTGTGAACCTTGTTGTTGTGTACATTGAGTTGGAACTCACTCCTTCCTAGCTGACCCTCCAGCAGGTTTTCAGAGGCTGCATAAATTCCACAGGAGATTGCCCATCTGTCTCCCATGGAGCAACTGGGGGATTTGAACAGCTTGCCTTTGGGTTGGCAGTGCAACTCCTTACCACTAAGCCGCTTTGTTGTTGTTGTTATGTGCCATCGAGTCGCTTGCGACTCATAGTGACCCTATGCACAACAGCCCTAAACTCTGTCTTCTGCCAACCACAGTGTCTCTGACACTCCCATCCCCATAACCCCGATCACTGAATCAATCCACCTCAGAGATGGCCTTTCCCTCCTGCGCTGTCCCTCCACCCTCCCCAGCATGATGTCCTTCTCCAAGGACCGATCTCTCCTCACAACATGTCCAAAGTATGTTAGATGGAGCCTCAGAATCCTTGCCTCCAAAGAACCACCCGGTTTAACCCTTTCCAGGACAAATCTGTTTGTTTTCCTAGCAGTCCATGGTACTCTCAATACTCTTCTCCAGCACCACAGTTCAAAGGCATCAATTCTCCTTCTGTCCTCCTTGGTCAGTGTCCAACTCTCTGATGCATAACAAGTGATTTTGAAGATCATGGCTTGTATCAGATGCACCTTAGTCTCCAGAGAGACACCATTGCTCTTCAGTACTTTGGAGAGGTCCCTAACAGCAGACCTTCCCATGGTAATGTGCCTTTTAATTTCCTGGCTACTGGTTCCAAGAGTGTTGACTGTGGAGCCAAGCAAAATGAAGCTGTGAACAATCTCAATCTCTTCACCATCCATCCTGATGCTTCCAATTGGCTCAGTGGTGAGAATCTTTGTCTTCTTGATATTGAGCCTCAATCCATATTGGAGGCTACAGTCCTTGACCCTCTGCAGCAGGTGCTTCAGGTCCTCTTCAGTTTCAGCAAGCAGGGTTGTATCATCTGCATAACACAGATTGTTGATAGATCTTCCACCAATCTTGACCCCACATTTCTCTTCATGGAGCCCAGCCTCCTGGATAATCTATTCTGCATACAGGTTGAAAAGGTATGGAGATAGGATGCATCCGTGGCATACGCCCTTCCCAATTTTGAACCATGCAGTGTTCCTGTGCTCTGTTCTGATGGCTGCCTCCTGGCCCAAGTATAGGTTTCACATTAGAACTATCAAGTGTTCTGGAATTCCCATTCTTCTCAGAGTCAGCCACAGTTTGTTATGATCCACACAGTCAAATGCCTTTGCATAGTCAATGAAACACAGATAGACATTCCTCTCGTATTTTCTGCTTTCAGCTCAGATCCATCTAACATCAGCTACAATGTCCCTAGTACCACGACCCCTTCTAAACCCAACCTGGACCTCTGGCAGTTCTCTGCTGATGTGCTGCTCCAGTCATTTTTGGATAATCTTCAGTAGAATCTTGCTTGCATGTGAAATCAGTGAGATTGTTCTATAGTTTCCACACTCTGGTGGGTCACCTTTCTTTGGAATGGCAACAAATATAGATCTCTTCCAGTCAGTTGGCCAAGTGGTTGTTCTCCAGATTTCTTGGCACAACTTGGTGAGCACGTCCACGGCAGCATCTGTTAGCTAAAATATGTCAATTGGTATACCATATATTCCAGGGGCCTTATTTTTTGCTATTTTCTTCAAAGCAGCCTGAACTTCTTCTTTCATCACCATAGGCTCTTGCTCATATATTATTTCATGAAATTCTTCTGTGTCTGCCAATTTCTTCCAATACAGTGATTCAGTATATTCTTTCCATCTTCTTTTAATACTTCCTGGATCATTTAATATACTGCCTAAAGCATCTTTGATTATAGCAACTCGAGGTTTGAATTTGTTCTTCAGTTCCTTGAGCTTATGAAATGCTGAGCGAGTTCTGCTTTTTTGATTTTCTGACTCCAACTCCTTGCACATTTCATTTTAATATTTTACTTTGTCATTGTGTGCTGCCTTTTGAAATCTTCAATTCTTTAGTATCTTCAATTCTTCCTTGTGCTTTGGCTTCTCTACACTCGAGTGCAATTTTCAGAGTCTCTTCTGACACCTGTTTTGGTCTTCTCTTCCTCTTCTGTCTTTGTAACGACCACTTGCATGCTTCCTGGATGATACCCTTGATATTCTCTCACAACTCGTCAGGTCTTCGCTCATTAGTGTTCAAGGCCTCAAACCTGTTCCTGATATGGTTCTGAAATGCTTTAGCATGTGCTTATTTTCGCTTCTTATCTATGTTGCTTTGGAGTTAATGTAGGTATATATAAAAGTACAGTTCTTTTATCTTTTTATACATTGTAGTTTCTGAAACATAGTAAGCACATGTGTGCAGTGAATTATTAATATAATATATTTTAAAAAGATTCCTCCAAGTTTTCCAGCCATAATACTGTTTGTAATCACCACTTTAAATGTGGTCACAGAGTTGGTTGAGTTTGGGATGTTTGTATTTTTTATTTTGATGACTGAAAGTCCTTATTAAAATAGACAAACTCTCATTTATTGCTTGCTTAATTTTAATTGCTGATGTTGGTGTCATGTAGTGGCCAGTCATTTGTTAAGTATAATTGCAGTTGTTTTGTGATTCATGATGATTAAATTATATTGGAAATGAGTCTTTGAAATACAACTTAATGTAATCAGAGCTTTGCCATTGGAGGGTAGTAGAATCTTTAGTAAGATGAGGATGTTGTTCAAGTTTAAGAAGGGCAATATTAGGGGAGGGACAAACAATTGGTGAAGACTTCTTATAAATCAGGCATTATGCTAGTATTCCTGTAAGATGCCTCTAGGCTACTATACCCTTGGCTTCCTGCATGAGGAGAGTTGGTTCTCAGAGAATTAACTTCCCCAGTGTCACAGTCTAAGTAAGCAGAAGAGCTGGGAGTCAAATTCATTTGACAACCTTCAATGTGCTTTTCTGCATTCTCATGATATCCTGGAAAATGGAGACACAGTCATCCTGTTGTAAGAAATTGAAGGTTGATACAGTATAACTCTGTTGCAGTTGCGTTGAGCTCATATAAAAATGAATGCAATACCTAGATCGAAGCAAGTGTGTGGCAGGCTGCCCCAGCCATCAGTGGTGGATATGCTGGTCACACGTGTGGGGTCATTGCAGTATGCCTAGAGCCAGCTGCAAATAGTACTGAATCTGAATGAAACCCCTAAGAGTACAATATTATTATTTTTCAAAATTTAGATTGTATTGCATTAAAAAGGATAATAATTAAAATTTTAAAACTGGCGCTCAGGTGAGCATTGCTGCTTGTTAGCAATAAGCATTGGAGCTGTTTCTCTTCATATTGAAGACTTGCTTACATCGTTCCGTTGCTTGTTGGTAACAAGCAGTGAAGTTCACTTGGCAGCCTTTCGATATTAACTCTCATTAATCTTGGATTTTACAGCAATATGATATTACCTTATCTGACCTAAATCAGCCTGTGCTTGTTAGTCTGTTGAAAAGCAAGAGAAACGATGATCCTGAGGTTCGGATTGCCCACCTGATGCCTGAACTCTGCTTCCTAACAGGTATAGGATACTTAGTAGTGGACAGGATTTCCTGATGTTAGCTGAGTACCAGAGAATGAAATTAACCTAGAAAAGATGGGCCCTTGAATTCCTTAATTCACATGAGTAAAGAACAGAGGGAGGACAGAACGCACTTTGGAAATTGGTTGGCATATTAAAAGTTACCTTCTTTATCTCATGCATTTGTTACTTTGATGTCAAATAGCCCCTAATATTTTTCTAAAACCAAACTGCTGTCTGCCATTTGCTGAACTTGACTGGCATAGAAAGTGATGTGACTGATTTCCTTTAATTCTATTATTGACCTTGTCCATTGGCACCAAAATGACCCTTATTTTTTCCTCTCAGAAGTTAATTCTTGTTATACAGCAAAATCTGAACCTTTTAAATAATGTTCATTATATTAGCAGAGGGATTCAGAAAGGAAGAGCTTTCTACATTTTGCAATTTTGTGTTGGTTCAACCAATTATGATGTATAAATACTTCTTTTGCCACTAGAAAAAAAAATCAAGAAGAGTGTAATCCTTGAGGGGAAGAGCTCTCATTCTTAGTGGGGATTCTGATACTGTGGTACTGTTACATAGCTCAAACGGCAGTCGCATGAGCCCTCAAGCCCTTGACATATGACTAGTGCCAATGAGTGGAGATCTAAGTGGACACTGGATTTTGGAGATTTAATGCTAAAAAGGGGAATATGTGTAGTCCACAGAGTTGCACTGCTAACGAGAGACCACCCCTCTCTGGCCATTCAAGTCTATCAGTGGCTCCAAGGGAGAAAGAGGGGCAGTCAGTCACGCCCTGTGTGATTTACAGCCTCAGAAACCCACTGGAGGGTCAGCTGTGCGTCAGCTCAGACTCAACCACAATGAGAAGGAGACCTATTCATGAGTTTTCCGTTGATTACAGGTAGAAATGATGGTACTTTAGTTATGCATGTTTGATGAAATGATAGGTGTTATTTAAAATCATTTTACTGGGTGCTCTCTTTGGCAAAACACACACTAAAATTGGAATGATGTAGAGAAGATGAGCGGGCTCAAGGATGCACACAAATTTGTGAAGTGTGCTTTATTTTTTAGAAGGATTAATCAAGATCAGAATTATAGAGACAAAAATGGGGAAAATGAAATCCTATTGTGAGTATTGGAATTAATACCCTAGAACAAAATGTGTATGTATACTTGAAAGACAGACCTATTTGCTTCGTACATTTTTGTTCAATTTATAATTTTTGAAAAAGAAAAAAAAATACAAATATCTTTAACCTTTATCTTTCCCCTCTTTTTTTTTTTTACATTTAGGTACCAGGAAATGTGAAATAACGTTTTTTCAAAAAAAAAGTTTACATTTTTGAGGACAATGCCATCCACATAGCAGATCTGATCTTAGTCGAAGTGAACCTGTTAGATGGTGCCCAAGCTGGGTGGGGGTTGGGTAGTACACTGTCTCTTTCCTCATTTTGTTTCTGTTGTATTTAACAGGAATGTCCAGACAGACAGTCTCTGATTTCCGGGTCATGAAGTCTCTGGCTGAAGTGATGCACCTCAGTCCTTTGGACAGGCAGCAGCAGCTGGCCAGGCTTGCTGACGACATCCAAAGGTACTGTGGTGGGCAAGACGCCTTGGGGACAAGCACGCGCCCTGCCTGGGGCCTGGTTTATAGAAGTGTATCTTCTGTGAAGGAATGGGGAGCTCTGGTGATGAGTTGCACTGTTCACCCAGAGGATGTACGTCTCCGGCCTTCCAGGGAGAATGATGGGCATTCTCCTTCCCCACCATCTACAGCCTACAAATTGGATAAAGAGTCACTGATTTTTACAATAAATGAGTAAGTGTTGACATTGTAATTAGTTTTGAAATTTACAGTGAGTGAGTGTGAGATAAATTTGGAGAACAGGTTACACAGTGCTTAAAGTGTTAGACTACTAACTGAAAGGTCAGCAGTTCAAATCCAATAGCCACTCCATGGGAGAACAGTGTATGGCCTGTTCTTATAACCATCTACCATCTTGGGAAGCTATGAAAAGAATCTACTTCATCCTATATGGTATCTGCAGTTGGAATTGATTCCACAATATCTGGCTTGATTTAATTTGCTCTGTATGGAGTCCTAGGGTGATGTAAAAGTTTAAATAGTCAGCTGCCGTAGAAAGCTTGAAGCTTTGGTTGATCCAAAGGTTCCTTGGAAGAAAGGCCTGGTGATCTGCTTTTGGAAAACTGTATGGAGCACATATATGGGCCCTGTGAGTCAGGGCCCACCCGACAGCAGCTTCTCCTCATGGATTGATCTTCTGTTCCAGGATGAAAACATCTTATTCTTATTGACCAAGACTGAAGTGTTTGGGGCTGGTCTTGTTCCAAGCCCAGAGGTTAAACTGAGCTGCCTTTGGGACGAACAGGTGAGAGGAGATGGTAGGGAGCCACTTTGGTAAGACTACCACCCTCTTGAGCCTGTTGTTATGTACTGTTGAATCAGAACCAGCCCATAGCTGACCCTCCAGTGGATTTTCAGAGGCAGTAAATCTCATGGGAGGAGACTGCCCATATTTCTCCCTTGGAGCAGCTGGTGAATTCAAACTGTGTGACTCTGGGTTGGCAGCGCAGCTCCTTACCACTAGGCTGCCATTGCCTGATATATGGAGATTTTGGGTAAAAATTTGAGTGAAGGAAAGGGTTAAAAAAAAAAGGAACCAGCAGTCCAAATCCTGTGTGCAGGATTAAGACTGTTCAATCTTAACATAGTGGCCTCATGAAATATGAGAAAACGAAACATTGGAAATACCACTTAATCATTTTTTAATTTGACTATACTTTCATGTATAGTCCAGGCTGGTTTCAGAAGGGGTCGTGGTACTAGAAATATTGTAGCTGATGTTAGATGGATATTGGCTGAAAGCTGATGTTAGATGGATCTTGGCTGAAAGCAGGGAATACCAGAGGAATGTCTATCTGTGTTTCATTGACTATGCAAAGGCATTTGACTGTGTAGATCATAACAAACTGTGGCTGACTCTGAGAAGAATGGAAATCCCAGAACACTTGATCGTTCTAATGCGAAACTTATACTTGGATCAGGAGGCAGTCGTCAGAACAGAGCAAGGGAACACTGCATGGTTCAAAGTTGGGAAGGGCGTACACCAGGGATGCATCCTATCTCCATACCTTTTCAACCTATATGCAGAACAGATTATCCGGGAGGCTGGGCTCTATGAGGAGAAATGTGGAGTCAAGATTGGTGGACGATTTATCAACAATCTGCGTTATGCGGATGACACAAGCCTGCTTGCTGAAACTGAGGAGGACCTGAAGCACCTGCTGCAGAGTGTCAAGGACTGTAGCCTACAATATGGATTGAGGCTCAATGTCAAGAAGACAAAGTTTCTCACCACTGGACCAATTGGCAGCATCAGGATGGATGGTGAAGAGATTGAGATTGTACACAGTTTTAGTTTGCTTGGCTCCACAGTCAACAGTCTTGGCACCAGCAGCCAGGAAATTAAAAGGCGCATTGCCATGGGAAAGTCTGCTGTTAGGGAATTCTCCAAAGTGCTGAAGAGCAGTGCTGTCTCTCTGGAGACTAAGGTGCGTCTGATATAGGCCATGGTCTTTGCAATCACCTGTTATGCATCAGAGAGTTGAACAATGACCAGGGAGGATAGAAGGAGAATTGATGCCTTTGAGCTGTGGTGCTGGAGAAGAGTATTGAGAATACCATGGACTGCTAGGAAAACAAACAGATTTGTCCTGGAGAGGGTTAAACTTGGTGGCTCCTTGGAGGCAAGGATTCTGAGGCGCCGTCTAACTTACTTTGGACATGTTGTGAGGAGAGACCGGTCCTTAGAGAGGGACATCATGCTTGGGAGGGTGGAGGGACGGCGCAGGAGAGGAAGGCCCTCTATGAGGTGGATTGATTCAGTGACTGGGATAATTGGGATGGGAGTGTCAGAGACAGTGCGATTGGCCCAGGACAGAGCGAAGTTTAGGGCTGTTGTACATAGGGTCGCTATGAGTTGCAAGCGACTCGATGGCACATAACAACAACAACAACAACATACTTTCATGGCACAGCCCTTCTGGTTCTCAAATAGCAAGCCTACCCACAGTTAGACAGGTTGTTGAACCTGAGTGGCAAAAATTGAACTTCCTCCTTTTTCTCTCCACCAGACTAAGTCACATTGTCCATTAAAGCCCTTAGGCCCATGTAGCTCTTGGGCACATGAAATATGATTAGTACCATGTATTGATTCTTCCTTAATTTCCAGCATGTGGTATTCACCACATCAGGAAATTAAGGAGCTGAACAGATTTCAAAGAGCAGTTCTGGAAGACAGAGCAAAATATTACAATGAAATGTGCAAAGAGCTGGAGTCAGACATTCAAAAGGGTGAACTTCCACCTTTCTTCAGCTGAAGGAACGGAAAAACAAATTCAAGCCTCCAGCGACGGTACTTAAGGATGCTATGGACAGAATATTGAATGATCCAGGAAGCATCAAGAGAAGTTGGAGTATGCAGAGTCACTGTACCGAAAAGAAATGGCTGACAGAAGAATTTAAATTTTGAAAAAATTTATGATCAGGAGGAAGTTCAAGCTGCACTGAAGGAACTGGCAAAAAACCAAGGTCTCATGAATTGATGGGATACCAATTAATAGGTTTCAACAAACTGACACTGCCCTGAAAGTGTTCACCAGGTTGTGCCAAGAAATCTGGAGAACAATTACCTAGCCCACTGACTGGAAGAGATACATATTTATTCCCATTACTATTCCAAAAAAAGGTGATCCAACAATGTGGAAATTATCAAACAATATCCCTTATATCAACTGCAAACAAAATTATGCTGAAGATGATTTAAAAAACCCACAAAAACCTACCAGAAATACAAGCTGGATTTAGAAGAGGCCGTGGTACTAAAGACATCTTAGCCAATGGAAGATGGATCTTGGTTGAAAGCAGAGAGTACCAGAGCAATGTCTATCTGTGTTTGTTTAACTATGCAAAGACATTTGACTGTGTGGACCACAACAAATTGTGGCTAACATTGAGAAGAATGAGAATTCCAAGACTCTTGATTTTGTGGATGCAAAACCTATCTATATTTGAATCAGGAAGCAGTCATCAGAACTGAGCAAGGAAACACTGCATTGTTCAAAGTCAAGAAAACAGTGCTTCAGGGATGTGTCCTATTTCCATACCTTTTAAATCTATAGGTGGAACAGATCATTTGTGAGTCTGGGCTCTGTGAGGAAAAATGAAGCATCATTTAGATTAGAGGAAGACTTACGAACAATCTGCGTTATGCAGATGATACAACTTGCTTGCTGAAACTGAAGGAGACCTGAAGCACTTGCTGCAGAAAGTCAAGGACTGTAGTCTTCAATACAGATTGAAGCTCAACATCAAGAAGACAAAAATTAACAACAACAACAAAAGACAAATATTCTTACCACTTGGCCAATTGGCAGCACCATGATAGATCGAGAAGAGATTGAGGTTAACAATTTCAGGTTGCTTGGTTCAACAGTCAACACTCTTGGCATCAGCAGTCAAGAAATCAGAAGATGAATTTCATTGGGGAAATCTCTTGTCAGGAATTTTTCTAGAGTACTGAGGAGCAATGATGTCAATTTAGAGACCAAGGTATGTCTGATCCATGCCATTGTTTTCACAATTACTTGCTACATTTCAGAAAGCTGGACAGTGACTAAGGATGACAGAAGAAGGATCAATGTGCTTTAGTTGTAGTGCTGGAGAAGAGTATTAAACACTCTGGACTGCCAAGAGGGCAGACATGTTTATCCTGGAGAGAGTGAAACTAAGTTTTTCATTGGTGGCAAGGATTTTGAAGCTCTGTATGACAAACTTTGGGCATGTTGCCTGGTGGGACTAGTCCCTGGTAAAAGGACAGTGCAAAAGAGGAAGACCTTGGAGGAGATGAACAGACACAGTAACTGGGGTAATGGAGTTAGATGTGTGAGAGACTGAGACGGGCTTAGGATAGGACAAAGTTCAGTGCTGTTGTGCGCATGGGACTCGACAGCACATAACAACAACCATATGTTGAAATGCTATTTCAGATTTCCATTCTCAGAAATTAAAAATACTCTGTAGTTTGACAAATTAATTAAGAGAGAGAACTTCTCACATTTATTGAATCCTCTGCATATGCTAGGCACTATGCAACCACTTTTCTGGTTAAATCATTATAATTGTCATGTTTAATCATAAATTTGATACAGTGACACAGCTACTTTATTATCCTTACCAATGAGGAAACCAAGGCTTAAAAAGACTAAACTCTTAATTCAAGGTGATGTATATTAAATGTTGGAGCTAAGATTTTAACCCGTGTGCCTTTGACTCTCTGGCCCTTTATCAATCCATTACATCATCCTTCAGGCATCAGTGACCACCATCCTTTGATGATCCTTTTGACCATTATATTGTCCTACTCATGAGAGAAATTACACAAGAATGATTATGATTTGCATTGTGGCTGTGCTAGAGAATAAGAAAATAAGGGAGAGGACTGGTGTGCAGAAAGAGAAGTCAGAAACCCTAAAAAACAGGGGGGTGGGAATCACTAATAATTCAGTAACTTCTAATTACATCTCTAATGATTAAAACTCTTTATAAGCTAAGCACCTTAATGATCCAAACCTCAAATCTACCCACAGAAACAAAGATACACGTTATGAACTGGAGAGCTGGGGGCTGCATTTTGGATGCCAGAAGTCTCTGACAGGCCGTGTTTTGCCTTCTGAAAAGATATTAATGCAAGACCAAACAGTAAGTATTGTGGTATTATTTTCAATTAAAAGAATCCATTTGAAGATACAGACCTCTTTAAGACTTGATAGAATGATGGTTATTAGATGCTGTCAAGTAGATTCAAACTCATAGGGACCAATTACATGGAGCAGGGGTTTCTAGGTTGTAGGTTCAAATCACCTGCCTTTCAGTTAGCACTGAGTGTTTAACTGTTGCACTATCAGAGGCTGTTTTAGAGTGACACACTTAACTCATCACATCATCAAAACTGACTCATAGGTGAACCTCCATTGGGTTTCTGAGATAGGAAATCACAAGAGAGAGATAAAACCAGGAAAGGTGTGTTTCAGGGTTGTATATCTTCTCTCCATACCTATTCAGTTTGTATGCTGAGGAAAAGACTCTATGGAGAAGAATATGGCTTTAGGATTGGAAGAAGACTCACCAACAACTTGCATTATGCAAATGACATACAACCTTGCTTACAGAATGTAAGGAAGCATTTAGTGAGGAAGATGAAAGACTATAGTCTTTATTATGGATTGCATTTCAATATCAAGAAATGAAAAATCCTCATCACTGAGCCAGTAGGCAACATCATGATAGATGGAGAAAAGATTGACGCTGTCAGTGGTTTCATTTTACTTGTATCCACAGTCAATACCCATCGTTAGCAGCAGTCAGGAACTCAAAAGATGCGTTGGACTGGAAATATATGCTCTCAGGGATTTCTTTAACATGAGATAGAGAAAGGATGTTAGTTTAAAGGCTAGGTTAACTCAAAGAATGTTTGTTTAGATCGGCCCAATCTAAGTCAAGGTATTTTCAGTTCCTTCATATGCACCTGATTGTTGGATAAAATGTAAAAGACTGAAGAAGAGTTGATACCTTTGAATTGTGGTGTTGGCCAAGAGTTTTGAATAGTCCGTGGACTGACTGACAATGAAACAAACAAATCTGTTTCGGAGGAAGTATAACAGAGTGCTCCTTAGAGGCAAGGACAGTGAAGCTTTGTCTTAATATATCAAAGCTTGTATCAGGAGGGGCTTTTTGTCCTTGAGAAAGAAACGAAACTGGGAAAGGTAGAGGGTTAGCAAAAGAAAGACCCTCAGCCAGATGTACTGACACAATGGCAACGGCCGTGGAGTTGGACATGACAGAGATCATGAGGATGGCACAGGATAGGGTCCCTGTGAGTTGTAGTCCATTTGATAACACTAAACAAATCACAAGAGAAGAAATTGTTCACCTTTCTCCCTTGCAGCAGCTTGTGGATTCAAACTGTCAGAGAAGTGTGGCTTTTGGATAAGCAGTGCAACTGTCTAAGGCTTATGCCACCACGATTCCCTTAGAGTGAAAGTTGTTGTTATATCCCATTGAGTCCATGGCAGCTCGCAGCAACCCTTTGAACATCAGGTCTTAACCTTGCCCTGTTCTGAGCCATCCTCATGATTTTCCACATACTCGACCCCATGGGTATACTTGTTGTATCAGTCCATCTAGGTGAGAGTCTTCTTCTCATTCTCCAATGCTCCACCTTTCCCAGCTTTTTCCAAGGACTGCCTCGCCCCCCAACATGTTCAAACTATGTGAGATCGAGTTTTATCTTCATTGTTTCTAAGGAGCACCCTGGTTACACTTCCTCCAAGACAGATTTATTTGCTATTCTGGCTGTCCACGGGGTCATTCTTCTTCAACACCTGAAATCAAAGGCATTGATTCTTTCATCCTTATTCATTGTCCAGCTTACAGATGGATAGGAAGCAACTGAAAATCTCACGGCATGCGTCATGCCCATCTTAGCCTTTACACTGACATTATTGCTCTTTAACACTTTGCAGAGGGCTTTGACAACACATTTTCACAAAGCAGCATATCTTTTGATGTCTTCATTGCTACTACCCTGACTGTTGATAGTGAATCCAAGTAAAATGAAATTGTTGACAACTTCAGTCTTTTCTCTATCTTTTATGAAGGTACCTGTTTGGAAGGTCTGAAGGTGTGCTTTAAATCCACCAGTTGCTCCTTGGGGATGGAGGAGCAGTCTCCCCCCGCCCCATATGATTTACTGCCTCTGGAAACCCACTTGGAGGGTCAGCTATGAGTTGGTTCTGACTTAATGGTATAACACAACAATTGGTCCAATGATGAGTATTTTTGTTTTCTTGATATTGAGATGTAATCCATATTGAAGACTACCATCTTTGATCTTCTTCAGCAAGTGCTTCCAGTCTTTACCTTCAGCAGGCAAGGTTGTGTCATCTGCATAATGCAAGTTGTTGATGAGACTTCCTCCAATCTTGATGCCACATTCTTCTTCATAGAGTTTAGCTTCTTCTCAATTATTCTCAAATTTGAGTAACAAGTACCCTCATAATATCCATTTGTACCCCCCCCAGTATTGTCCTTTACCTCCCCTTGCCCTAAAACCTTGAAATCCCTTGTGACTGGTTTGCATGGACTTGCATGGGCTTAGTGCATCCAATGTGGTGTCACTTTAAATATGTGTTGTTGTTGTGTGCTATTGAGTTGGAACCAACTCATAGCTGACCCAGAGGGTTTTCAGAGGCAGTAAATTACAAGGGAGGAAATTACTAATCTTTGTCCCGTGGAGCAGCTGGTAGAGTTTAATTGAGTGGCTTTGGAATGGGAGCATAGCTCCTTACCCTTAAGGTACCAGTTGTGGTGTTACTGTATATTCTCAAGTCAGAATCAACCTGTATTTGACCCCCCCAAGGGGTTTTGAGAGGCAATAAAATGCAAGAGAGGAAATTGCCTATTTTACTCCAATGAAGTAACTGGTGCATTTGAACTGCATACCTTTACATTAACAGCACAATTCCTTACAACCAAGCCATTAGAGCTCCCTTAAATATGCATTAGGAAACAATATTTCAGCCATTGCACTCTTGGTGCCAGCAGTCAGGAAATCAAAAGATGAATTGTCTTGGGAAAATCTGGTGTCCGGTACCTCTCCAGAGTACTGAAAAGCAACAGTGTCAGTCTAGAGACTAAGGTGCGCCTGATCCAGGCCATGATCTTTGCAGTTAGTTGCTGTGCATCAGAGAGCTGGACAATGATTAAGGATTATGGAAGAAGAAACAGTGCTGGAGAAGAGTCTTGAAAATACCATCGACCACTAAGAAAACAAATAGGTCTCTCTTGGAGTGGGTGAAACCAGGTTTCTCCTTGGAGGCTAGGATTTTGTGGTCAGGAGGGACTGATCCTCGGAGAAAACATCTTCTTCAGAAGGGTGGAGGGACATCACAGGAGAGGAAGACCCTGGATGAGATGGATTGATATAGTAGCTGGGGTAATAGGGGTTGGTGTATCGGAATCAGTGAGACTGGCTCAGAACAGGGCAGGCTTCAGAGCTGCTGTAAACAGGGTTGCTATGAGTGGCAGACAACTTGACAGTGCCTAATAGCAACAACAAAAACTCTTATGTATAAAAACCACAGTGAGAAAACTTTTTAAGTAATGAATGTACCTGATAGAATATGTTTTCTGATACCAGAATTTGGACATTTTGTTTCCATATCTGTTAATCTTTCAAAATAAAATGCTGCTCCGGTTGTACAAAAATAAAGAAATCCACCTAGAACCCATCCCCAGACATGACATAGTGAGAGAAAGACTCCCAGAGGTTGTGGTGGATGGCTGGAGGTGACCATGTCATTGACTCCCTGTCAATTCTGTTTTTCTGAAATTGGGCCCTAGGGACTGTGCAATAAAGGTTCATTGAGCTTAAGGTGTGCCTTGGACATACTGTACTGTGTTTCTTCCTAGCCATAAGATGATAAATAAAGGAACCTTACATGAGGAAAGTCTATCAGCTGGTGAAGATACCTACGTGGATGTGTTTCCTGACACCAGATTTGGTTTTTCTGTTTTGGCACCTGCTAATTTCCAAAAAGATGTGCTGTTGAGTCGGTATAAAAATGAAGACATTCACTTAAGTAGAAGTGGTGTGAGTGAGGAAACTGTGACTCTCCTCACATTGGCTGTCATGGAAAGGAGTGGACCTTAGCTTCGAACAGAACCATTTGAGTACAGAGGGCCAGTCTGCCCACTTGGGTCTCAGCCTAAGGCTGCTTCCTAATCACTTATTAGTAAGGCATCATGAAGGTAGGTGGTGACCAGAAGTCAGAATGGCCACCCTGAATTCCAAATCTATGCTTCTACTATCTGGCTTCATAGCGTAGCTACAGCTTCTGAGTTACTAGAACAGAAGGGTTAGAATGTTTCTTAAACACTAAAGTAGTTAAGAATCACCGGAGGAGTTTGCCATCCTGCAAATTTTTACTTAGTAGGTCTGGTATGGGGCTCAGGACTCTGCTTTTCTACCCAGCTCTCAGAGGATGCCCGTAAAACTGGGCCATGGACACACTTTGAGTATCAGGAAATGAAACAGCAGTATGAGCCCTTTTAATTTAAACAGTAGCTCTTCCTGTCCCAGCCATGGCATTTCAATTTGATTCCAGTCTATGGGTGTAAGTTTTTCTTCAGTGCTGGGAGCTTGCTTTTTCTGCTCATCTGAGGCCCTTCTAAGACTAAGAAAGGAGCCTAAGTCTTGCCTTTGTCCCTTGCTCATAGATAGAACTACTCTGAGCATAATGTATATTCTTAACTGCTTTCTAAGATTATTTTTAATACCTGGGCACAGACAATAAGCATTTTCTATGTACGATATATAAATGCCTAAAGCAAAGGGAGGAAGTGCTGGTGGCTTAATAGGTAAGGAATTTGGATTGAAGTTTGCCCATCCAAAGGCAAATGGTTCAAATCCGCCAGCTGCAAGGAAGAAAGATGGGCAGTTTCCTTTCATGTAGTTTAAAGCCTCTGAATACCCATTGGAGGGTCAGCTATGAATCATCATTGGAGCTGTGGCTCCAGCTCAGTGCACCTAGCAATAAACAATGTAGAGAGATGGTTTTTGAGAACCGAGACTGGAAAGTCTGCTTCTTTTTGTAGATTTCTTAGTCCTAGGCACTGGAAATCCAAAGCAAAGGCCTTGTCCAACATTGTGCTACCAGCAAGAACATGTGTTTTTTTCAGATGTGCAGCACCTGTATCCATATGACTGTGGGCAGGTCGTTGAACCTCTCAGTGTCTCATTCCTCATGGAGCTTGTACTGTGATGCCTTCCTACTCTAAAAGGCAGATCCCATAAATCGAAACAATTTTAGGACTGAATAGAAAACAGTACTAGAGTTGGTACTCCTCTCCTAATAGGCTTGGGCACTTTTCCCGTCCTGTTTTACTGAATTACTCTCTTAATGAATTTGTTCCATCATTTCTTCATTATACTCCTCAGTTTCAACCAGCATCTGCTGCTGATTGGTTCAAGGATATTCGAACTTGTAGAGTTTTAAGTGCACCGTCTTTGACTAAATGGCTGATCATATGTAGTAACGGAGCTGAAAGTGTGATTGAGAGCTTCCTCAGCTGCTTGAGACGAGTTGGAAGTTCCATGGGATTTAATGTGGACTACCCCAAAATGTGAGAATATGCTAAAAGTCACTCTTTTATTCTCTTTCTCTCTCTCTTTTTTTTAAAGTCCTCATTTGGTTTGCTTAGAGGGTAGGAAATAATGACTCTTAAGTATCCACAAAACTATATTGGCAAAGTTTTCCAATAAAAAGTTCCAAGCAAATACTTGAGTGTAGATGGGTTTTATTTTTTGTAGATGGATTTTTAATGATTATATTTTATAAAGTCAAAATCTATTTGTTTTTTCTTTACTTTTTTAAAATATAAACTTTTTATTTGATACAGGTTCTACTTACAAAGTTAGCATACATTGTTTTTCACACTAGATCGTTCCCATTTCCTTAACTCTCCCCACCCTCCACCCCTCAAATTGTGTGACCCTATGATTACACAGCCCACCCATCCCCACTCGTTACTCACCCCTGTGCTCCCTCCCCTTACATCCTCATACACATTTTACTAGTTATCTATGTCCACAATAATAGTCTTGTACAGTATTTGTCCTTATGGGACTGAGTTAGTTCACTTATGTTGGTCTTTTTATACATTTAGTTTCAATATTCTTCATAAACAATGGTGTCATTACTTCAAATTTTTCCCCATAGTGACTAGTATTTTAATGTCTAATAAATCCCTATAGTACAGCTATTAATAAAATTTAATGACAAACAGAATATTTAATAAATAGAAATGACATTTCCTCATTGATTTGATATATTCAGTGCTTTAATATTGAATGTAAAATAGATCAGAAATAAACTTTTCTAATTCTGTTCGGAACATAAGAGTAATAATTCAGATAGTTTTCTAAAGTTAGTGTTCTTTGAAACTTACTGAGTGGATGCCAGATACTACACAAATTATTGAGCATGATCAAAGGAAATAAGTTGCTTTTAACTTAATAAGGGATGTGTGTGTGTATATATAGTGTGTGTGTATATATATATATATACACATATATATATACACACACACATATATACAGTGTGTATATATATATGTAGAGAGAGAGAGAGATAGAATACACACACATACACACACACACACACAGAAAGAGAGAGAATAGAGAGAGAGTCACATAGTTTGTCACATAAAAATGGCCATTCCTCACTTTGTTGCAGTCAGTTTGCTTAGAAAAGGAAACCAATTCTTGTACTTCTTTTTCTCTTTTACCTTGGAGGTATAGCCATCTTCATTGGCAGGTTGAGGAGTTATTCTTTACATGTGGTTATTAATTAATTACACTGATATAGCAAGCATTGTTGAAAACCACAGGTAATCCAAATGTCTCAGTTTACATAAAGAATCTAGAATTCCCCCTTATCAAGGTTGTTAACAAATCAACTAGTTTAGGTTTCACCTGCTCTAATTTACCTTAGCCTCCCAGCTAATAAAGTAAGAAAAGAATCCTGAAAGAAGCTAGTCACAGACCCAAGACCATTGTCACAGCGGTTTTATCACACAGGGAGCCAGCACCGTGTTCCGTTCTGGATGGGCTTTATCTGAAAACCCAAATTTTAATTCATTTAATTAATTTCCTTTTCCTTTCCCCCTGTGAAGTACCCATTTTAGATATATATGCATAGCCTTTATTATCTAAAATAATTTGTTTAGTGATTTTTGAAGGAATAGACAATAAGATAGTTGAGTCTGAGTGCAAGAGATTGAATTGGGGAAGTCAGGATCACGTAGATGTTTAAACAATGCTGCAGGCCATTTGTATATCCCTAACAATTTTTATGCAAGATTTTCATAAATCTCTGCAGAAGTACAGTGTCCTCACTTTCTCCCTTTGAGCGGCTGGTGGGCTTAAACCACTGACTTTTTCATAGGCAGCTGAACTCTTGACCACTGCTCTTCCTTCATAAGAAGCTAGAGTGTGCATTGCAGTGTGCAGGGTTATATACTAGACAGTTAAGGACTTGCTGATTCATTGATTGATTAATTGAAGCTATTAAAGAGATTATACTCCGACTCAAAGCAAAATGTCATTAAAGGAGAGGGAAAAAAGGGCTCCAGACTTCCTTTATCTGAATCATGAAAGTTAGATGGTTTTGGTCTCATTAAGGTGATGACTAATAAATCTTATTTTAAAATTTGCACCTAGATTAAATATTAGTTAAAGTTTAATTCTGCTTAAATCTGAACTTCATTTTAGGCATTTGATATTTCTAGACTAGTGAGTTCACAAGTCGTCTTTCAGCCCCATTTTTAACAGTAGAATTATTCCTTATAGGAGTTCAATGGAGAAAATGTCATCTTCCACCAATGCAGTTTCTAAAGAGAATAGAACTAATTGTTAAGTGTGTTTGACATGTCCTTTAATAGGGAAAACCATTTAAGATGCAAAAGTTTAAATTTTTCTCTAATAACTTGCTGCTAAAATTCCTTGTCTGGCATGGAAATCCATTTGTGTTATTTTAGTACCACATGATCATATCCTACTGAGAAGAGGCTTGATAGAGCTTTGCAATTTGTCTTTTTATGCAGCATAAGAGTCCAAGACAGTCCAGCTTCATTTCTTAGAGCTATACAGCAACATGTTGTCCCCAACATTCAGTTGGTAAGTACCGGGTAATTCTTTTGTTGTTCTAGTGTATCAGTTTTCTTTTTTCTCTCCCCGAACAGTCCTGCTTTTCTTCCTTGCCACTGCTTGCCTGCTGTAAGCCCAGGAGCTGCCAGCTGGGCCTGGGGAAGTCGAAAGATTGGGGCTTCAGCTTGAATAAAGATAGAGAGCAAAAAGAGTAAAATTGGAGAATAAAAAAGGAATAATTTACTCAGCATTTCTCAAGCTGAAAGAACTGAAAAACAAATTCAAGCCTTAAGTAGTAATATTTAGGACATGCTCTGGGCAAAATCTTGAATGATCCAGGAAGCATCATGGATGGAAGATGGAGGGAGTACACAGAGTCACTGTACCAAAAAAGAAGTGGCCAACACTGAAATATTTCAGGAAATACCCATCGAGTTGAATATGACTCACAGTGACCCTGAGAGCAAAAAAATCTGAACCTAGTCCTTTCATGCGCCATCCTCACACTTTGCAGCAGTCATCATTTCAATCCACCTGGTTGAGGGACTTCTCCTTTGCTGACCCTCCACCCTCCCCAATGACATGTCCCTCTCCAAGGAATAACTCCTCTAGCAACATGTCCAAACTTTGTGAGATGAAGCCTCATCATTCTTGCCTCCAGAGGGTACTCTGGCTGCACCCTCTCCAAGACATTCATTTTCTTGGCCATCCATGGGATATTTCAGTGCTCTTCCCTAACACCACAGCAAAAAGGCGTCATTTCTTTTTCTGTCATCCTTATTCCTTGTCCAGGTCTGGGATTGGAAAGACCATGGCCTGAATCAGACACACCTTATTTCCTGTAGTCAAATTCATATCACTACTCCTCAGTAATTTGGAAAGGTCCCTAACTGCAGATTTCCCCAGTGCATTGCATCTCCTTGTTGTTCATACCAAGGGTGATAATTGTGGATCCAAGCAAGATGAAGCTGTTGACAGTTTCAGTCTCCTCTCCATCCATCAGGATACTGCCTACTGGTCCAGTGGTAAGAATCTTTGTTTTCTTAATATTAAGACACAATCCATACTGAATGCTGCATTCCTTGATCTTCTGTAGCAAGAGCCATACCATATGATCAAGAAAGAGCCAGTGGGAGGAAAGGAAGAAGTTGACAGATGCAGCCCTGGTTGTGCCCTCCAGTCTATGCCAATAAATTTGGAGGACAGCTGAATGGCAGAGCAACTGAACGAAGTTCGTATTTGTTCCCACTCCCCAGCAGGGTGATCTAACAGAATGTGTAAGTTATTGAACAATATCATTAATATCACATGCAAGCAAAATACTGTTGAAGATGATTCAAAAAAGGCTAGAACAGTAGTACATCAATAGAAAACTGCCAGAAGTTCCAGTAGGAGTTAGAAGAGGCCATTGCACCAGGGATATCATTGCTGATGTCAAATAGCTCCTGGCTGAAAGAGAATATAAGAAAAATGTCTGTTTATTCTTTATTGACTATGCAAAAGCATTTGACTGAGAATCATAACAAATTATGGCTAACATTGAAAAGAATGGGAATCCCAGAACATTTTATTGTGCTCATGCAAAACTTGTACCAAGAAGCTGTTGTGCGAACAGAGCAAGGGAACAGTGTATGATATAAAATTAAGAAAGGAGTGCTTCAGGGTTGTATCCTTTCTTCGTACCTGTTCAGTCTGTATGCTGAGCAAATTATTCAAGAAAATTAACTCTATATACCATGCTTTTTCAGTCACCTGACAATTAATAAGCTTAACAAAGAAAAAAATGTGTGCCTTTGAACTGTAGTATTGGAGGATAGTACTGAATATCCCCTGGACTGCAAAAAGGACAAACAGATGTGTCTTAGAGAAGGTACAGCTCACATGCTCCTTGGAGGCAAAGATGGTCAGGCTTCATCTTGCATATTTGGGGCATGTTACTAGGAGAAGCTATTCCTTGGAAAGGTGCAAGGACAGTGAAGGAGAGGAAGATTGTCAGTGAGTTGGATTGACACAGTGACTGCAGCGATGGGCTCAAGTGTGTCAGAGATTGTGAGGTTGGCACAGGATAGCAGAGGGTTGAGATTTGTTATTCACAGGATCACCATGAGTTGTACTCAATTTGACAGCAACAACAGCAATTTTGAGATTAGGAAACTGAATACACTCTTTAATGTTTTTATATTTTGGAAACTGATATCTTTTCCAAAGTACTCAAGAAAGTTAATTCCAGCATTTTCATCAATCAGTAACATTTTATTTAATTTTCATATTTTTACCTGCTTTCGGCTACATCTGTGTTTTTTTCTTCTTGAATACCTGCACATTTTCTGTCTTACTGGGAACTGTCTTTTACCCAAGTTTAAGAGTAAATGCCTTCCACCTTATCTCATAAATAAGGATTATTAAATACAGATACCCACTTTTCTTCACAATGTTTGAGCAGATTCTTGGAGGGTGTAGGTTCCCCAAGTCACAATGGCCCCAACTTCCTGCTTCCCCCAAACTCTGGGACACTCATAATTGACTCATTCCCCAGAGTGAATGAGTGTGTGTGTGTGTGTGTGTGTGTGTGTGTGTGTGTGTGTGTGTAGGGGGGTGGAGAGAGAGAGAGAAACAGGTAGGCAGGCATATGGCAGAAGACTTGGGACCAAGGTATCGCAAGTACATCCCATCTCATAATTTAAAACAAGTTGAAATGGGTATCCCTGTTCCCAAAAATCTCTCATTCATTCCCATTTCTAGGTTGGTTGGTTTGTTTTAAACTCTTCTCTAGGACCCTGGCCTCCCACTGAGAAGAGGAGACTTCTCTTCTCCTCTCCTCCCAGCTCACTCATCCCTTTTATCTTTCTTGAACTCTTTGAGAATAAGTTACAGATTTGATACCTGAGATGCTTTAGTATATTCTGCTTACAAGCAAGGTTATTCTCCCCTGAGTATTGGATTGACATCAGAATCACTACACAGTTGTTGTTGTGAGCGAGCAAGATGGTACCAGCTCATACCTGACCCTCCAGTAGGTTTCCAGAGGCAGTAAATATTAAAGGAGGAGATTGCCCACCTTTCTTTTGCAGAGCAGGTAATGAATTCAAACCATGTATCTTTGGGTTAAAAAAATGCAAGTTCTCACCCCTAGGCCACCAGAGCTTCATTTTTTCTACTTGTAGTTGCTGTTATGTACCATCAAATTGGAGCTGACCCTTCAGCAGGTTTTCAGAGGCAGTAAATCACATGGAAGGAGATTGCCTATCTTTCCCCCTTGAAGCAGCTGGTGGATTTGAACTGAGTGCATTTGGGTTGGCAGTGCAACCCCTTAACTCCAGGCCACCAGAGCTTCCTGTCCTCTACTCTTTACCCCATTTTATAGATCTGAAAACAGAGGCTTACATCTCCAAGTTCTTTGTAAGGAACATTAAAGACTATATTTATTGAAATATGGAGTTTTTCCGAAAAGACTATAGAGTATTATCAACACTAGAATAAATATCAGAAATCTACTCTTATTTGTTCCCATTCCCAAGAAAAGTGATGCAACTGAATATGGAAACTATCAAACAATATTAATATCTCATACAGCAAAATACTGCTGAAGATTACTCAAAAATGGCTAGAACAGTATATAGATAGGGAACTGCCAAAAGCTCAAGCAGGATTTAGGAGAGCCCGTGGCACCAGGGATATCATTGCTGATGTCAAATGGATCCTGGCTGAAAGTAAAGAATACCAGAAGAATGTCTATTTGTGTTGTATGGACTATGCAAAGGCATTAGAATGTGTGGATCATAAAAAGTTGTGTCTGACATTGGGAGAATTGGGATCCTCAAGCACTTAATTGTACTCATATGAAACCTATATCTAGACCAGAAGCTGTTTTACGAGCAGAAGAGGGGAACTCTGCATGGTTTAAAATTAAGAAGGGAGTAAGGGAGTGTGTCAAAGTTGTGTTCTCTCTCCATATCTATTTAATCTGTATGCTGAACAAATTATTGGAGAAGGTGGACTCCATGAAGTGGATTATGGGATCAGGATCAGAGGGAGACTGACTCATCAATAACCAGTGTTATGCAGGTGACATACCTTGCTTGCTGAATGTGAGGAGGACTTGAAGCACTTTTTGCAGAAGATCATGGAATGCAGCCTTCAGTATGGATTGCATTTGAATGTCAAGAAAACAATGATTCTTACCATTGGACCTATAAGGAAACATCCTAATGGTTGGAAAGGAGACTGAAACAGTCAACAACTTCACTTTACTTGGATCCACAATTAATATCCTTGGTACTCAGTCAGGAAATAAGGAGACGCACTGCCCTGGGAAAATCTGCAATTAGGAACCTCTTCAAATTATTGAGGAGTAATGAGGTCCATTTGAGGACTAAGGTGCATCTGATTCAGGCCATGGTCTTTCTGATTATTTGCTATGCATCTGAGAGTTGGACAGTGAATAAGGATGACAGAAGAATCGATGCCTTTGAGCTGTGGTGTTGGAGAAGAGCACTGAACATTCCATGTCCTGCCAAAAGAACAAACAAATATGTCCAGGAGATGGTGCATCCAGAGTTCTCTTTGGAGGCAAGAATGGTGAGTCTTCACCTCACATACTTTGGGCTTGTTGCAAAGAGGAGCTATTCCTTGGAGAGGGACATGATTCTTGGAAGGCTAGAGGGTCGGTGAAGGAAAGGAAGGCCTTTGACTAGGTGGATTGACACGGTAACTACTGCAATGGACTTTCGTGTGTCAGGAAGTGTGAAGATAGCACAGGATAGGATAGGATTCAGATCTGTTGTTCATTAGGTCGCTTTGAGTTGTACTTGACTCGATGGCACTAACAAAAACAACTCTCATATATATTTAAGATTTTTGTGTAGTTCAGTTGATGAGGATTTATATAAAACAGAAATATTGATACCCTTCAACAAGCCAAACCATAATGAGTGTTTCTGTGCCATTTCAATAAAGTTAGTTAATATTACTTAAGGCCATTGAGTTGGAACTGACTCATAGCATGGCTAGAAATCTAATGCAAGAACCCTGTTCTCCCTCAGATCCACTGGTGGATTTGATCCATTGGAGAGGCACTAACTTTGGGTTAGCAATGTGGTTCTTTGCAGAGTATCGTACCAGACCTCCCTAAGAAAGCTTAGCAAAAATTTCAGATAGAATTGAGGCCAAATGAGACAAAGAAGGAAACTTCATGAAGCTAAATGGTACATCACACAACACAAGAACAGTATTAAGTTGAGATCACAGAACAAATTGATAAATAAAAGTAATTACTTTTACTCTCTCAATTTTTGATCCCTATAAAGCAGACTGAAAGGATGAAGAGACAGATTTTAATGAAACTGCTATTTAATAATATGGAGCTGATGAATAGAGTTAACAGAGAATGTCCTTTTTAAAAAAGGCTTATAAAATATTCATGAAAACAGGCAATATAAACCCACAAAAGAAATCCTATAAAGTGAAAATAACAGCATTCTTTTTATGTTGTTGTTGTGTTCTTTGGGGTCAGAACCAACCCATAACTGGCCCTCCAGCGGGTTTTTGGAGGCAGTTAATCGCACAGGAGGAGATTGCCCATCCTTCTCCCACCAAGCAGCTGGTGGATTCAAACCTTGTGCCTCCAGGATTTCAGCACAGCTTCTTGCCATGCCACCAGAGCTCCCTGTGTAAATATGAATTTTATAATCTTTATACAGACTCAGGAGAAGGAAAAAGCCCTATTACCTGAAAAATTGCAAACTCTCAAACAACTCTTAGGCCATAAAGAAAATACCAGATAGAATTATAGAATTTCTACCATAAAAATAAAAATTATATGTCAGAATTAAGAGATACTGCCAAAATATGCTTAGAAAACAAAAATAAATAATGGGGGGAAACCCCAGAAAGAATAAGTTAAAAAAAATACAAAAGCCAAGAATAATGAACAATAGTGAAACAACAGTATAGATAATCAATCTGTTTAAAAGCTTAGTTTCTGATTTTCTGTATTTGTGTTTGTTTTGTTCTGTGTAACAAAGTCAAATAGATAAACTCTTTGCAAGCGTGATCACAAGTACACAAATACACACATTGTTTGTAATGGTAAACAATTAGGATGTCTGAACTAGTTAAAAGTAGTATGTTCCTAAAAGTAATACTCCAACTTTTGAAGAATAAAGGAAGTCTTTGTATGTGGAAATGGAAAGGTCTCTAGGATATGCTTTTAAGTAAAAAAGCCCACAATAATACTTAGGATAAGTTGCCATTTGTTTGAAAAAGAGAAAAATAGAAGAATCTGTAATTGTATTTGTCACTATGGCCCTGGGGACAGATGTCAGAGATAGTGAGATCTGGCTCAGGATAAGACAGGGTTCAGAACTATTGTTCCTAGGGTCACTATGAGTCATAGTCAACTCAAAGGCACAGAACAACAACAACAACATAATTGTACTGAATCCAGACCCCACTCTGATTTCTCCTAATGTTGATTATGTAAAGGAATTGAATGCATTGCAGATAGTTGTTCTACATTTTTAGTCTTCCCTTCCCCCATTCTGTAACCACTTGGGTTTTCTTTTGATACATCCAGGGCAGTTTTTTGAATCCTGCCCCTCAGTTTGGATTTTTTTGTTGTTTCCCATGGTCACGTTTCAGGCTGTGCACTTGGCAGGAGTTACCACAGAAGTGGTGCTGTCTACACACTGCATCCTCCCAGGTTCTCAGGGTCTCCCTGTCCTGGGGATGCTAACTGAGCACTGTGTAAGGTGGTATGGACAGGTTTCTGCATGTGAAGTTACTCCTGTTCTTGGGATTGTAGTTGCAGCTCCTTGCCACTAGGCCACCAGAGCTCCCAAAAAAATATGGAACGCTTCACGAATTTGCGTGTCATCCTTGCGCAGGGGCCATGCTAATCTTCTCTGTATCGTTCCAATTTTAGTATATGTGCTGCCTAAGCGAGCACCTATTCTTGGAATTAATGAAAGTTTTTGTGGAGAGATACCTTAAGACTATGCAAATAGCCCGTTCCTTGTTGAACTTTACCCAGTGGTTTTAGCATCCCTTGATGACTCTTGCCTGAATTGTTTATTACGGTGAAAATGGCCAAATGGTTATTTTCTAATTCTGGCATTCCTTCTACATTTTTGGTTGACAGTAAATTAGAAAACCAACATTGAGCAACCATCATAGTTTGGTATGAACTGATTCATACCGGGAAGAACATTCTCTTCTCATTTGTTCATTTATTTATAGCAGAATGAACTCATGAATCTTTCTTTATCTGCTGGTATTATCCACTATGGTGCTTATATGTTTCTTTTGATGCTCAAGTTTGTCTCTGATTTTGCCACTAGGAGAATTTCTGTGTCTTTTGGATACTTCCTCATCTTTATTTGGCCACTACCTGCCTTTAAGACATTACAGGTTAGGTTCATTTTGTGATTTTGCTGCCTAGCCCTGGAATCAGATATTTCTCCAAGGAACTCTGGTTCCTTTGCATAGAGAATGGTACTTAGAAACCAAGACCCGGGCCCTGGGTGTACTTATTTGCTACCAGTGTGTTACTGTCTGTGAATTTTCTCATTGGGCAAAACTATGACTTTTTTTTTTTTATTAGCTTCAATGAACATTTACAGAGATTTTGAATTTCCATTCATTCACTGTTGCACTTTTCTCCCTGCCCACCCCACCCCCACTCCAGTTTGTTCTTCTCCTTGAAAAGCAAAAGAAAAAAACTTCTTCATTGGTATGCAGTCCCCCCCCCCGCACCCCTTCACCCCCACCCCAAGTATCAGAATGAGGGTTGCAGAGTGGAGTAAAACTACGACTTTTAAATCTCATTCATTGTCACCGAGTTAGATCCAACTCAAAGCTAACCCTCTAGTGGGTTTTCAGAGGGTGCAAATTGCAGTGGAGACATTGTCCTTCCTTCCCCTGGTGAATTCACACTGCTCACCTTTGACTTGGCAGTGCAACTCCTGAACCACTAGGCCACCAGAACTCCCCATTGATTGATAGGATACTCATATAGATAGATACCTATGTCTGTTTCATTACTATGTCTGTTTATCTAGCTAAAAATATACTTCAAAAAAGAAGTCATACTTCCAATCTAATACACCACAGGAAAACTTCCCCCAGGGCCGTACATGTGCCTGTCTTCTCAGGTAATGAAAAGCATGATATCTGTTGGTATCTACATATTTGGCTGCTCGCCCCATCCCCTCGTGTGTCCTCTCGTGTTCCAGCCTCCACTAAGGCATTGCTTTGTTCTGCCACTTACCTTTGGCTCCAGACTCATAGAAGGGAAAGATAGTGGAAAAATCCCTAAGACACTGTTGCTGATATTTAAAAAATATTTTCCTGTCCCACTTTATTAATTTTTAAATGTGTTAATTTATTCATTTTTAATGTGTAAATATTTCCAATTTGTGATATGACTTTAAAACAGGTCTGTAGGTGAAAAATTACTTCGTTTTCTGCTCATCAGGACACACTATAATTTGAGGCATTTGCACATAAAGGGTGTAAGATGGGAGGAAAGTGGAGTTAGACTAAGAGAGATACTGCGGTTGAAGTAACATCTGATAAAAAAACTGGAATAGTGACAGCGATTGGGGGAATAAAAAAATACCAGACAACTCAAAGCTTCCTTCTCCCAACATCCTCTCAATCTTCAGTAAACAAAGAATTTTTATGTGTTTACATTTTCTTTATTATAATTGCTTAATACCTCCTGAGTAAAAGCAAAAACCAAATCCAAGCCCACTGTCAGTCAACAGTCCTCCCCCTTCAGGTCTCCAGGGGAGGCGGGAATCTTTATGAGGGAACACTGCCTCTTTTTCTCCCTTGATGTGGCTGGTGGCTGGGAGATTCAAACCACGGACCTTTCATTAGCAGCCCAATGTGTTAGGTTAGGGGGGAAAGGAACATAATTTAAGCTAAATTAATTTAAGGGAATGTAGTGGGAATGAGAACTGAAGATCCTGAGGAAAGAGTCTTTGAAAATTTTTTAATGGAATGAGCTATGTTAGAAGGATGTTTCGAAAGACTGACAGAGTCCAGGAAGGAGCGTTGGTGATGTAATCAATCATGTGTTGCTCTGCCAACTGTAAGATCAGTAGTCCAAATCCACCATGGGAAAAAGATGGGCATTCTCCTCCAGCAAAGATTTACATCCTCGGAAACCTGATGAGGATCACTAGGAGTTGGAATTGACTCAAACAAAGGCAGTGAGTTGGGTTAACAGAATTCAGAAGTCCCCAGAGGGCACAAAGGATCAACTCAGCTCCTCAACTCAACTCCTGAGTGAAAGACTCACTGGTAGAACCCAGCCAGAGATGCCTTAGAAGAATTTTTAAAAAACCTTACTTCTAAGTGTTAGTAGATTGATTTCCTCTTTGACAATTTTATTTTTGCTTTTAGGTGATGTGTATTCTGTCTTCCAATCAGAAGAGCTGCTATGACCCCATTAAAAAGTACCTGAGCTCAGACTGCCCGGTGCCGAGCCAGTGTGTGCTCACCCGGACTCTGAACAAACAGGGCATGATGATGAGCATCGCCACCAAAATTGCCATGCAGATGACTTGCAAACTGGGAGGCGAGCTGTGGGCTGTGGAGATTCCGGTGAGGAAGCTGCCGCACTTCTCTGCTTATTCAGTCAGCCAGTTAAAAGGGTCAAAGTAGCAGCTGCTCACATGGCCCCAGAATGACTTGTTTTTGCTGTCCTGTGGTGTCTCTGTGCTGTGTCCTGGCATTACACAAGCATATTACACAAGGCACAGAGTGAGGTACCCAAAAGGAGAGAAGCCTTGGTTCTCAAAGGGCTGCCGTCAAATGGAACGCTTCAAATGTTTTGTAAAAGAGAACCTTGTTGAGGCAAAACCCAGAAGGGTGAGGTTTGGGTCCTCTCAGCCCCTATCTTAAAATCACTGTTCCAGGGTCTCTGATGGCACCCACACCCACTCTCAGAGTGGCCCTGCCCCTTGGGTGGGATCTTCTCAGTGCCTGGGAAAGTGGTCTAGCCTACACTCTGAACCTCCAAACTGAGATGGGAAATCCTTTGGTGTCTTCTGAAATACCATCACCCTGACTGGGCATGAAGGATGAGAAATGACGGGCTGTTGTTCCCTCCTTTTATTTCCATAAGTACTTGGGTGAATATTACCCCCAGTGCCTGTCACGGAGACATGTGGCCCCAGGAGGATTCCTTAGCAGTCTGAGGAACTGAGCCAGGCAGTAGACATACTTGACAGATCCCCCCCACCCCCACCCCCGTATAGAGGCAAAAGAAAAATGGGCTAATCGTTTCTTCAGAATCTCTCTAGCCACTAGTGTCCCTTGGCCACCTCCACAGACGGGAGTTGCTTTGTTTTTGCTCACTAAGTACCTCTCAAGCCAGGAGTCCTTCCCTCTGTCTTTAACTCCTTGTGATTTCTGATTAAACAACCCGTCTGATCTGGACCTTGCTCTTCCTGGCATGGGCTGTGTTGTCAGGCACGATGGAGCTGGTTCCAACTTGTAGTGACCGCATGGACAACAGGGGGAACTCCTCACAGTTGCTGTTGTGTTTAATTCCATCACTGTAGCTAGTGCATTAATCCATCTCGTTGAGGCCCCTTTGTCGTGGAGTCTTCTTTACCTAACATGACGCCTTTCTCCAGATACCGGCCTCTCCTGGTAACGTGCTCAGGGCATGTGAGGCGAAGACTCGCCGTCTTTGCCTCTGCAGGGCATTCTGGCTGCTCTTCTCCCAAAACACACAGCTTAATTTAAATCATTTAATAGCCATAGACAGTTTCATGGAAAACTTGAAATTAAATCACAGTTTTAAGAAATGCTTTATCCCCATTAAATATTGTGACATGTGATTTTTTTCAGCTAAAATCCCTGATGGTGGTGGGTATTGATGTCTGTAAAGACGCCCTGAACAAAGGAACGGCAGTGGTTGGATTTGTGGCCAGCAGCAATCCCGTAATTACCAGGTACCTTAAAAATCATGCTAATAGAGTCATCATGCTATTAATCAATTATCATTTATGTAAAAACCACAACAGCAAGGGATATTTTGTATTATGGACCCACGTTTTAAAAAAACAAACAAAACTCACCAATACTTATGGTTATAAATTACATTTATTATAAAATCTTTTATAATATTGGGGAAATATATAACTTTATTTTTTGGAAAAAAACCTATTTTTTATGCATTCATTAGAGCAAACTTTTGATCGTATGCCAATCATAGTTACAAAATGGTGGGCATGTAGAAATTCTGGTCTTTATTTTTTTTCTGAGTGCCTGTACTGTACTATGTACTTAACATTCATTATTTCAATGAGTTGAGCTTGGGAATCAGGTTGCCTGGATTTGGATATGCCATTTAATCTGTAACTAAGCTAGTCATTTAATCATGCTATGCCTCGGCATTATAATCTGTAAAACGGGGATACTCTTTATAATAGGGTTAATAGCATTGCCTGTGTCATGGCATATTGGCATCTACAGCAAATGCGTGGCATGTGCTTGCAGTTTTATGGTTACTGTTATTAATTCTCACAGACACTTGATGTGGTTGATGTTCATACAGCTATGACAAACCCAGGCAGGAGGGTAAACACCAGCTCAGTTATCATTAAATGGTAGGATTTAGAATTATTTCTACATTTGTAACTAAGCAATATGTTTTAAGGTTATAGATGCTGTTTTCCCAGTGTTTTCTTCCTATCCCTATGCTGTTCTCATTAAGGTCTGGTCAGGTGTGCATGTTTGGGATTGTGGAAACAGGAGCAGTATATCTGCAGTTCTACAATTTTATTGTGTTGCTAGGTGTCATCAAGATGAGTATGACTCATAGCAACCCTGTGAAATACAGACTGAACCCTGTCTGTCCCTGTGCCATCCTCATCATCCCCAACACACTTGAGCCCATTGCTGCAGTCACTGTGTCAGTCTGTCTCATTGAGGGCCTTCTTCTCTTTCGTGGACCCTCCACCTTTATGCACCTTCATGTTAGGGCTCATAATAGAAAAGTCCTTATAAACAAGTTACTTCCTCTAGTAGCCTAGTGGTAAGAAATTGCACTGCAATTCCAAGGCACACAGTTCAAATCCATCAGCTGTTCTCTGCAGCTGAAGGATGGGTAGTCTCCTCCTATGCAATTTGCTGCCTCTGAAAATGGCACTGGAGGGTCAGTTATGGGTCAGTTCTGACTCAATGACCCACAGCAATCTGTTAGATAGACATTTCCCCCCAAATAACATATCACAACTTTGTTGACATCATAACTGCTAACACTTCTAGTCCAGTCTCTGTCCAGAAGCAATTAACAGAATTAGAAGCACCCACTTCTAGTTTCAAAACTGGTGAAGGCAAACTCGCTGCTAAGTTTCAACCTGCTGGTGATCAAATCATGTATTTCTTAATTCAGTAGAACAGGGAGCAAGTTTATTAGGTGAGCCATATATTGGGGTCATATCTGCACCTCTAACTCCAGCATTTGAGTATATACTCCTTAGCCACTGAGAATTCTGAAACGGAAGGTGTAGTGGCATGTGCTTTGTATACACATATCAGTGTCCTGCAGGTGACAAATACAATGACCCAGCCTCTCTGATATCTGTAGGTGCGGGTCATTCCCTTCATCAGGGAGAAAAGGGACTAGCCATTTGTGCCCCTATGGTTGGATATATTTACAGAAATACAATAATGGTGTTACTTATCATTAAATCATGATCTTAATTTTTCAAAAATTCTTTTTAAATGTTTATTTTGTTGTTGTTGTTGAGACTATATACAATATTACATACTCCATTGCTCCCTGGACACTTCCAGGATATTGATGTCATTCTTCCAGTTGTGCAGCCAGCCTAACCCTACATCCTTTTAGTGGGCAGCTTTAGCAGGACAACTCCCTTCTGGAAACTGAAGGCATTAGTCATGTTGAGGTGTCAAGGTCAAAAGACACCTTTATAGGATGAGAAGTTTGTGCTTGAGAAGTCTGAATATTTTGAAGTTAAATAGCTACTGCTTCCGAAAAGATAATCTGCTAAATTAATAAGAGTCTTTTAAAGTAATCATCTTGTGTAATGATCTAGTAAGGGAGCTCTGATGGCTTAATGGCAAGGAGTTGTGCTGCCAAGCGAGAGACATGTATGCTGTTGAAACCCACCAGCTGCTCCGCCGAAGAAAGATGGGCAGGCTCCTCCTGTGTGATTTACTGCTTATGAAGACCCTCTGGAGGGTCGACTATGAGTGATTCTGAATCGATGATATACAACAACAACAACAACAACAACAATAATAATATGGTGGCCTTTATTTATTCAAATTGCCAGAAATTTAAGCTGAACTAAAAATTACTGATATCAGATACAGCTTGGCTGAATGCCAACAAATACCAGAAAGGTGTTTACTTGTATTTTATTGACTATGCAAAGGCATTTGACTGTGTAGATTAAAAAAATTATGACTACCATTGAGAAAAATGAGAATCTCAGAACATTTCGTTTTGCTTATGTGAAACCTGTGTATAAACGGAAAGCAGTTGTCTGAACAGAACATGGGAACACTGTTGTATTTGTTGTTGTTAGGTGTCTTCAAGTCGAGTATGACTCATAATGACCTTATGAACAAAAGATCTGAAACCAGTCCTGTCCTGCGCCATCCCCACACTTTCTGACACAGAAAGAGCCCATTGCAGCAGTCACCATGTCAATCCACCTGGTTGAGGGTCTTTCTCTCCTTAGTCAACCCTCACCCTTTTCAACATTGTGCCCCTCCCCAAGGAATAGCACTCCAAATGGTTAGGTGAAGCCTCATCATTCTTGCCTCCAAAGAGCACTCTGACTGCACCCTCTCCAAGAGATATCTATTCGTTTTCTTGGGCATCCATGGGATGTTCATTGTGCTTCTCCAACACCACAGCTCAAAGGCATCAATTCTTTTTCTGCCATCCTTATTAATTGTCCAGGTCTTGGATACATAGCTAGTAATTGCACAGACTATGGCCTGAATCAGACGCACCTTAGTCCTCAAATTGACATCACTACTCCTCAATAATTTGGAAAGGTCCCTAACAGCAGATTTTCCCATTGCAATGCATCTCCTTCTTTCCTGACTGCTTGTACCCAGGGTGTTAATTATGGATCCAAGCAAGATGAAGCTGTTGCCAGTTTCAATCTCCTCTCCATCTGTCATGACACTGAGTACTGGTCCAGTGATAAGAGTCTTTGTTTTCTTGATATTGAGACACAATCCATACTGAAGGCTGCATTCCTTGATCTTCTGCAACAAGTGATTCAGATACTCCTCACTTTCAGCAAGTAGGGTCGTGTCATCTGCAAATGCAGGCTATTGATGAGTCTCCCTCCAATCCTGATGCCACACTTCTCTTCATAGAGTCCAGCTTCTCGGATAACTTGCTCAGCATATAAATTGAACTGGTGTGGAGACAGAATACATCCCTGATGTACTCCCTTCCAAATTCCAAACCACACAGTGCTCCTCTGCTCCATTTGCACAACAGCTTCCTGGTCCAAATATAGGTTCCTTATGAGCACAAATCAAGTGCTCAGGGATTCCCAGTCTTTTCAATGTCAGCCACATCTTGTCATCGTGTTCCCATCGCGTTTTTTATGGGAATACTGCATGGTTTAAAATCAGGAAGAGAGTGTATCAAGGTTGTATTCTTTTTTTCACACCTATTCACTCTGTGTGCTCAGAAAATCATTCAAGAAGCTGGACCGTAGAAGGACAATGTGGTATCAGGATTGGATAAAGATTAATGAACAATTGACATTGTGCAGATGACATAACGTTGCTAGTAGAAAGTGAAGAAGACTTGAAACATTTACTGAAGTTGATCAAAGATTATAGTCTTCAATATGGAATACAACTCAACAACAGGAAAACAAAAATCTTCACCCCTGGACCAATAGACAACAACATAGAGAAAAGATAAAGAAGCTTCATTTTACTTGTATCCACAATCAACACCCGTGGTAACACAGAATCAAGAAATTTAAAAAACAGGTTGCTTTGAAATCAGCTGTCAAAGACCTCTCCAAATGCTGACGTACAATGTCGTTTTACAGACTAGGGTGACTCTGATGCAAAGCATGGTATCTTCAATTGCTTCCTATGCATCTGAAAGTTGGACAATGAATATGGACGTCCAAAAAAAATCATTACCTTTGAATTGTGGTGTTGGAGAAGAGTATTTTTTAATATAATTTTTAAAAGAAATCTTAGAAAGTGTGGGGGGTGTGTGTGTGTGTGTGTGTGTGTGTGTGTGTACCATCAAGTCGGATCTGGCTGGTACAGGAAAAGATTGCCTCTCCTTCTCCAGCAGAGCATCTAGTGGATTTGAACTGCATACCTCTGAGATTGCAGTGCAGCTTCTTGCCACTAGGCCACCAGAGCTCCATTGGAGAAGAGTAGTGACTATCCTATGGACTGGACTGCCAACGGAACAAACAAGCCTTCCTTGGAAGACATGTGACCAGGATTCTTTTCAGAGACAAGGATGGTGAAGCGACATCTCACATACTTTGGGCATGTTGTCTGGAGCAACCAGTCATTGGAAAAAGCCATCATCCTTGAAAGGTGGAGGGTCAGAGAGAGAGAGGAAAATTATAAGCAAGATGGATTGATGCAGCTACTATAACAGTGAGCTCAAGAATACTAAAGGTGGTGGGATAGTGCAGGATAGGGCAAGGTTCAGATCTGTTGTTCATAGGGTCACTATGAGTCATAGTCAACTGACTGGCCCCTAACAGCAGCAGCAACAAAAACTATGGACCAGGATCCACTCTTTTTTTCTTTAACTCTTTTCTTATTCTTTAAAATTATTGTTTTCATACAATAATTTATATATACTGTTTCACTCATGTACATTGAATTTTAAACGATCATTCATATGCATGGTTTTCTATACTATTGGTCAACACCTTTTATCCCCCAGCCTCATCTCATCAAATCCTCATTGTGCTTTGCTTGTTTCTTCATCCCACACCATCTCTTCACCCTTCTTTGCATCCCTTCCACCTCCCTTCTCTCCTTTCCCCTCATGTTTTGAATAGTTACACATATCTTATTTCTAGTGGTTAATTGCAGTAGCCACATTGTCATTTTATCAATTGTTCCAAGGTTGATCCTTCCTTGTCCTGATCCTTTACAGTGTTCATTGTCTGTGCATTCAATTTCTGCTCCCTACATCCCCTCTTCCCCCCCCCCTACTCTAGTTACCCTCTTATTTTCACATTCATGGTCTTTTCCCTCTTTAGTGACTCAGTTATATTACCCAGAATAATATCCTCTAGACTAATCTATATTGTATAGTATTTTATTAATTTGTTCTTTTTTAATGCTTTGTAATATTCCACTGGGAAAGTGTACCATAATTCATCTGTCCCTTTGTTTATTGATAGACACTTGGGTTGCTTCCATGTTTTTATTATTGTGAATAATTTTGTGATAAACATAGGTGTACTTATTTCCTTTCATGTCTCAGCTCTGATTTCCTTGAGGTATAGTCTTAGTAGTGGAACACTTGAATCATATGAGATTTTTCTATATTCACTTTTTTGAGGAAATGCCAGACTTTCTTCCATGGTGGTTGTTACATTTTACAGTCCTTCCAGCAGTGCATGAGAATTCCAATCCTTCTATGTTCTTGCCAACATTTATTGTTCACTGCCCTGTTAAAGTTTGCTACTGTTACTGGAGTGAAATTATGTCATGTTGTTTTGATTGTAATTTCTCTGATTGCTAGTGATTTTGAACATTTTCTCATGTGTTTGTTGGCTGTTCAGCCTCTTGGTGATGATTCTTTTCATGTCTTTAACCCATTTTTTTTGCAATTGGATTATCTGTCTTTTCTTCTCGAGGCCCTGTAGCATTCAGTGAATTTTAGTTATGAGTCTCTTGTCTGAAATGCCATTGCCAAATATTTTTTCACATTCAGTGGAAATCCAACAACCCTTCCTGATCAAAACACACAATTAAATAGGAACAGAGGTTTACTTTCTCGACATAGTTAAAAGTATATATGAAAACCATTCTCAATAGAGAGAAACTAAAGTCATTCCCCTTGCAGAGACCAGGCAAGGATGCCCACTATCACTACTCCTGTTTAATGTTGTACTGGAAATCCTGTGTTCTTAAGTACTATCAAGTTGGAACTGACCCATAGTTGACTCTCCAGCAGTAAGTCACACAGGAGATTATCTGTCTTTTACCCACAGAGCAGCTGGTAAGTTCAACCTGCTTGCCTTTGGGTTGGCAGTGCAACTCCTTACCACTAGGCCATCAGTACTCCTTAGCTTGAAAGTCTTAGTTAGGGCAATTAGGCAAGAGAAAGAAATAAGCATTCAAATTGTCAAAGAGGATGTAAAACTATTGCTATATGCAGATGATATGCTAGAGTATATATAAAAAATGCTACAGGCTTGACAGAAGACCTGTTAGAACCAGTGGATCATTTCAGCAGAGTGGCAGGATACAAGATCAACATACAAAAATAAGTTGGCTTTTGCTACAGCAGCAAAGGGAACAAGAGAAGCAATACCATTTATAGTAGTCAACTTCAAGATGGAATACTTAGGACTTAGGAATAACCCTAACTCGAGATACAAAAAGAGAGTTCTGGAGGCCTAGTGGTAAGAAGTTGCACTGCCAACATTAAGGCACATGGTTCAAATCCACCAGTTGCTCCACAGGAGAAAAATGGACAGCCATCCTTGCAATATAAAGCCTCTGACTACCCACTGGAGGGTCAGCTGTATGTCAGTTCTGACTTGATGACAGACAACTGAGGCAGACCCAGGCCCAAGAAAACACAACTAAGTGAAAATAGTAAACCTGTTTAAGGCAGGGGCCCATGCCCAAGAAGACACTGTTGTTATTGTTATTGTTTTTGTTGTTGTTATGGGCCATCGAGTTGCCTATGACTCATAGCAACCCTATGTACAACAGCTCTGAAGCCTCCCCTGTCCTGAGCCAATCTCACTAACTCTGACACACCTACCCCTATTGCCCTAGTTACTGTATCAGTCCATTTCATCTAGGGTCTTCCTCTCCTGCGCTGTCCCTCCGCTCTTCCGAGAATGATGTTCTTCTTCAAGGATCAGTCCCTTTTGACCACATGTCCAAAGTATGTGAGATAGAGCTTTAAAATATTAGTCTCCAAGGAGAAACTTGGTTTCCCCCTTCCAAGACAGACCTATTTGTTTTCTTGGCAGTCCATGGTATGTTCAAGACTCTTCCCCAGCACAACTTAAAGGCATCAATTTTTCTTCTGTTATCCTTTGTCATTGTCCAGCTTTCTGATGCATAGCAAGTAATGGCAAAGACAATGGGCTGGATCAGGTGCACCTTTGTCTCTAGATTGACATTGTTGCTTCTCAGTCCTCTGGAAATGTTCCTGACAGGAGATTTACCTAATTCAATTTGTCTTTTGATTTCCTGACTGCTGGTGCCAACAGTGTTGATTGTGGAGCCAAGCAAGCTGTAACTGATCACAGCCTCAGTCTCTTCCCCATGCATTATGTTGCTGCCAGTTGACCAAGTGGTAAGAATCTTTGTTTTCTTGATGTTGAGCTTAAATTAATATTGAAGACTACAGCACTTGACCTTTTGCAGCAAGCGTTTCAAGTCCTCCTCAGTTTCAGCAAGCAAGGTTGTGTCATCTGCATAATATAGGTTGTTGATGAGTCTTCCTCCAATCCTGATGCCACATTCCTCCTTATAAAACCCAGCCTCCTGGATGATCTGTTCTGCATATAGATTGAAAAGATGTGGAGACAAGATACATCCCTGATGTACTCCCTTCCTCATTTTGAACTATGTAGTATTTCCTTGCTCTGTTTTAAGGACTGCTTTCTGGTCCAAATATAGGTATTGCATAAGCACAATCATGTGTTCTGGGATTCTCATTCCCCTCAAGCTTAACTACAATTTGTTGTGATCCACACAATCAAATTCCTTTGCACAGTCAATGAAACACAGATAGATATCCCTCTAGTACTCTTTGCCTTCTGCCAACATCCATATGACAATGGCAGTAATGTCTCTAGCACCAAGAAAACACTAGCTAAGCAAAAAACAGGAAACCTGTTTAGTGGACTCAGCCCCCAGGAGCAGTGGCAAGTGAACAGCTCTAACCATATAAGAGAGACAGGAGTTCAACTATAAATAACATAAAAACCAGTCCAGCAGCTGGGGATTGCCTGTTCAGTAACCTGAGAGAGAATTTTAACTAACCGTATGACCTTTCTCCCTGTGTACATAACTGACTTAAAGCCCCTTTGCCTAAAAGGTTTAACTGACTAATCATAATGTATGTAAAACCTAGCCAATAGAAAAGAGACCCCAGCCACTACCTCATAAACCTGTATAAAGAGAGTACATTTTGCTTTGCATTCAGGGTGTCTGACCCTTAAGAGGCTGTGGTCTCTGTCAGTGCTCCTCACGGACAATAAAGTCCTCCTTGGTTCACCAAAAGAGCTTGTAATACTGTTTCTTTCTCTGAAGTCGCTGGATAGGAGGTCAGATTCCTGCAACACAACAACAGAGGCATAGAGAATGTGTATAGAGGAATCTATAAAGCATGACTACAATAAACAGTGAGACCTAATTAAATGGGAAAAAATTCCTTATTCATGCATAGGAAGACCCAACATAGTGAAAATGACAATCCTATCAAAAGCAACCTTATTGGTTCAATGCAATCCTAATACAGATACCAATCTCACTCTTCAAGGACATGGAGAAGGCAATTTCCAATTCCATTTGAATAGAAAAGAGACCCTGAATGAAAAAATGGAAACTAAGTAGTAGACATCACATTCCCACAGTAATCAAAACAGCATGATATTAGTACAACAATAAGCACGTAGACCAATAGAATGGAATTTGGAACCCAAAATTCAATCCCTCTACCAATGGTCATTGATACTCAACAAAAAAATGGGGGCATGACGGCCTCTTTTACAAATGGTGCTGGATATCTACTTCACTCTGTACACAAAACCAACTCTAATCAGATCAGAGACCTAGGGGTAAAACCAAAACTCAAAAAGATCATCTGAGAAAAATAGGAACAAATGTAAAAGCCCTGGGCTATCGCATGAACAGACTTGCAGACATAGCCACAAATGCACAACCCAGGGAGAATAAAATCGACAAAACGAAACCACCTGAAAATCAAATGCCTACGTGCATCAAGAAGTACTGACGTTCTTAAGTACTTAATTTCTACAACTGTCTGATACAGTTACTGCCTTATGAGTTTCTTGCTACAGATGGGTAAGTTGGGGCTTAAGCTCATACAGTGAGATCCCATAAACTCCATACTGTTTGTTTTGGAGTTGATTCTGACACTATTGAACAGATAGAACTCCTTTATAAATTGTAATAACTTTGATCTTTACAGACACGGGCTGCTACAACCTTCTTATTTGGAATCACTCATGGGTTCAAACTGCAGATGTTTTCAACACAGTTTAGCCACTACCAGGAGTCCTTGCTAAAGTTATCTATCTGGTTATTATGTAAATTAGAATTTAAATTCAGATGTCTGATACCAACATTATACTTTTGTTTCTCTTGTTGGCACAGTTCCTGATTTTGGTAGACAGGACCTGTTTAATATAATTCTGATCATATAGTATAACAAAACCATGAACATGGACTTTTAACTCATAATGTTTATTTCCTAATTTAGTGTTTATTGTAGAAAATTATATGTTGAACTTGGCTTAATTTTGTCTTCTGCTTGCTTCAGGTGGTACTCCCGCTGTATCCTTCAGAGAACAATGACTGATGTTGCAGATTGCTTAAAAGTTTTCATGATCGGTATGAAAAATGTGGGTTTTCTGGTGGCTTAGTGGTAAGGAGTTGTGATGCCAATCCAAAGGCATGCAGTTCAAATCTACCAGCTACTCCACAAGAGAAAGATCATAGTCCTTGTGATTTACAGTCTCTAGAAACCCGCTGGAGTTTCAGCTAGGAGTTTGTCCTAATTAGACAGCACGTGGACACAACTGAAAATATAGCAGTGGGCTCCCAGGCTGTTCCTTCAGTAGATAAGTGGAAACACACTCCTCAGGCTCACCAGTGTCAGTTGTCCCCCAATTGGAAATGCCCAAAACTTTGTGCCACTCAGGCTGACAGACTGTGTAGAATTTACCTTTGTCTGCCAGAGACAACAAAAAACTAGGAGGGAGGAGAATTTGTAGTTGTTGGTGATCATCTTGTTGATGGTCATCTGGCAGGTATTTTTGAAAAAGAAACCTGGGCTGGAGGAACTCAGGTTAGGACAGCAATGTTAAGTCTACAAATAGGAGAGAAGTCTTTGGGCTGAGATAGAAGTGTTAATGAATTGTTTGCTACTAGTTTCTGTTACAGTAGAATGGCTCCATAGGATTCTCTTGGGTGTAATTGTAATGGAAGTAGAGAGAACCAGACCTTTGTTCCACAGTGTCATTTGATAAATTGCAGCCCCTTAGCCATAAAAGCTTGAGTGCAAACTGCTTGTGCTCCTATGAACAATAGTACTGCTGTAAAGTGTGGGATAGAAGGGAGAGGTGGGGGAGATCACAGACAAGTAAGGAACATCTCTTCACAGGGAAATGCAATGGAAATGCAGTCTAGCCCAGTGTGGGCTTCATTTGGCCACTCCCTAGCTGTAGGACCTATTCAGACCATTCCCTTTCCTGATCTTTGCTTTACTCTTTGGCTGGTTTGAGAAGTTGTGTGAACTCTGGTAGGCTCAAAGGAACCACCTCCCTGGTAGTTCACATCTACTTGTGGCTCCACAGGAGAAAGATGAGCCATTTTTGCTGTACTTTTTACACCTCCAAAAACCCACTGGAGGATCAGCTATGAGTTAGTTTTTTCAAAAATAGATTTCGTTCATGTACATATTCCTGCCTCCTCCCCCACTTCCCTTTGTAATGCTTGTCTTGTTCCAGGCTCTTAATTGTCACACACATACTTTATAATCATCCATTCCTTTTCAGATTGTCTTTCCTTTCGCCCATTCCAGTATAGTGATAATTATCTATCCATTCTTTTCCTGCTCTCCCCCAAGCCCTGTGCAGATCCTGCTATTACAAGAGTGGAGTTAGGAAGTATGTGTCCTTTTGTGACTTTGATATTTCACTCAGCATTATGTCTTCCAGACTCATCCATGTTGTGTAGTGTTTTACGAGTTCATTGTTTTTCATTGCTGCATAAATTACATTTTGTGAATGAAAACCAATCTTTTCATGAACCCCCATTAAAATAAAAAAGAAATAGATTTTTTTTAAAAAAATGGAGAACTTTAACTTCTGTTAAAAACTTTTTTCCTAAAAGTGAATTTAAGACATCTCTCTTGTTATGCACTTGGTTTACATATGACTTAGTGTATACGGTTAGAAAAAAAGAGTTAAGAGAGATAAAGAAGCTGGTTCCAAGTAGTGAGCAGGCCTTTATTGCGTGGTCTGAGAGGGACGCCAAGTGACTGTACACAGAGATCAGAATGGCATGCCGGAAGACAAAGATTTGTATATAGGGGCTTTTAGGAAGGACCAGGGAAGATGGTAATTTGCTCAGAATTCGGGGCAGGGGTCCTGTCAGTTTTCCTAGGTGTCGCTTTTGTGATCAGGTCCAGAGTCTTAGAAGGAGATAGACATTATCATGTTTCTTCAAGGAATGATCACACCTGGGAGCTACTGTGACATTCTTTCTCCATATGCACATTGTTTCTGATTATGTATATGAATATATTCTACCTAATTAAAATAAATTTCCTGTACACTTCAGCCTTCAAAAGCAATTGTGCAGTATTGGACTTTAAAATAATTATTGCATCATTTCTTCTGTTTCTAAACATGGTGATTGAGTGTATGTGTGTTTTTAAAATCAGTTCTTACTGAAAATTTCTGTTGGGTAGGAGTTACTGTCTCGTCTCTGCTTTTTAGGCAATTTAGAGTTAGAGTGGGTGGAAATGTTTTCAGAGTCGATCTTGTCAGTGAGAATTGGAGTCTAATTGGGTGAGTCAGTGCCGGGAGATGTTTTCCGAGGAGCAGCCAAGTAATTTTCTTATGTTTTCATATTTATGCTCATTAGGGAGGAAGCTGATATTAAATTTTTCAGTCACTTTTTGTTGTGAGAAGAAACTAAATTAGTATTAATTTGGTTTGAGAAATTTTTATGTCTGCTACATGAATTAAATTTTAATTTATTGCTTAAATATTAAAATTTTACTAGAGACATGCCAAGTTTCAAACTATATTATGCCATAGAAGTCATCTTGAATCCCCAAATAGCAGAGGTGAACAAACATTTCCTTAAGTTCTTCATTATTATGTTATTAAAAGCACAACCTAGATTAGGTATTATCCTATTTGATAGAGGTCCTAAATAGAAAATCTAAATGAACATTAAAATATACAAATAGCCTATTATAAAAAACAAACCACACCACCACCTAATTGCTGCTGAATGGGTCATTCTTTTCTTAATACCAAATTCTGCAGGAGCTCTCAAGAAATGGTACAAGCACAATCACAGTTTGCCCACACGGGTAATTGTGTACCGCGATGGTGTGGGCGATGGTCAGCTGAAAACACTTCTTGAATATGAAGTTCCACAGCTGGTGAGCAGTGTAGCAGAATCCAGCTCAAATGCCAGGTATGAAATATTGTTCTTTCCACCTCACTATCAGTTACAGCATGTTCATATTTAGTTGTAATTGGTAAACTCAAGGTATAGAAATATCTTTTTTTAAAAGATGTAGTTAAATTTTTGCTCTATTTCTACATCGAGTAGAAAATCCATTGTTGTTGAGTTGATGCCTGCTCACAGCAACCCTGTGGAAAGCTCTGGTGCACATAGACCCTTTTGAAGTTTTACTGTGAATCCATAGTTCAAATCCACTAGTGGCTAAAAGAATGAAGAATGGGTTGTCTCCTCTGTTTTGTGATTTAAAGCCTCAGAAATCCAGGGGAGGAGCTCTTTGAGCCAAAACTGACTCAACAGCAGTGAACTTGAGTTTTGTTGTATGGCTATTTAAAAAACAAAAACAAAAACAAAAAAAACAAAAACAAAACCAACCCTATTCATGCTTCTCTTGTATCAGCACAATTAAATGTTCTTGGATTCTCACCCTTCTCAATGTTGGCCATAATTCATTGTGATCACAGTCAAATGCCTTTTCATAGTCAATTAAATACAGGTAGACATCCTTCTGGTACTCTCTGCTTTCAGGCAAGATCCATCTGACATCAGCGCTGATCTCCCTGGTACAATGGCCTCTTCTAAATCCAGCTTGAATTTCTGCTAGTTCTCTGTTTAGTCCATTTTAGATAATCTTCAGCAAGATTTTTCCTGCATGTGATATTAATGAAGTTATTCAATAATTGCTGCATTTGGTTGGATCATTTTTTGGGGGAATAGGAATGAATTTGGGCCTCTTTCAGTCATTTGGACAGATAGCTGTCTTCCAGATTTGAAAAATAATGATAATTCCAGAACACTTAATTGTGTTCATGTGAAACCTATATTACATGGAACATTACATGGTTTAAAATCAAGAAAGGTGTGTGTCAGAGCTGTGTCTTTTCTCAATATATATTCAATTTGAATGCTGAGCAAATCATTTGAAAGTTGGACTTCATGAAGAAGAATGTGGCAACAGGATCTAAGGGAGAACTCGAAGAGCTAACTGCAAAATAAATCAAAGACTACAGACTTCAATATGGATTACACCTCAACATCAAGAAAACAAAAATCCTTACCTCCTGGCAAATGGGCAACATCACATAATAGACAGAGAAATGATTGAAATTGTCAGGTTTTATCTTACTTGGATCCACAGTCAAATTCTTGATACCAGCAATCAGAAAATCAAAAGATGTTTCACCCTGGAAAACTCTGTTGTCAGAGATCTCGCCAAAGTGCTAAAGAGCAGTGCTGGTGGTGGTGGTGTTAGTTACCGTCAAGTTGAGTACAACTCATAGAGATGCTAAAAGCAACAGATCAGAACTCTGTCCTGTCCTGTGCCATCCTCACACATCCTGGCACACTCAAGCCTATTGTTATACTCACAATGTCAGTCCATCTAGTTGAGGGTCTTCCTCAACCGTCCACCTTTCCAAGTATAATGTCCTTCTCCAAAGAGCAATGAGGTTCAAGACTAAGGTGCACCTGATCCAAACCAAGGTCTTCTTGATTACTTGCTACATATCTGAAAGTTGTACAGTGCCTAAGGATGACAGAAGAAATATTGACAGTTTTGAGTTGTGCTGTTGAAGAGTACTGAATATCCACAGACGGCCAAGAGAAAAACAAGTCTGTCTTGGAGAAAATGAGACCAGAGTGTTCCTTAGAGGCCAGGATGAAACAACTTCATCTCACATACTTGGGCCTGTTGTTAGGATGAGCCAGTCCTTGGAGAAGGAAATCATGCTTGGAAAGGTGGTGGGTCAGTGTAAGAGAGGAAGACCCTTAGCAAGATGGATTAACATAACCACACAATGGGCCCCAGTATACCAGAGTTGAAGAAGACAGTACAGGATAGGGCAGGGTTCAGATCTATTCAAAAGATTGCTATAAGGCATAGTCAACTCAACACCTATCATTAACAATAGGAAAGAATAGAACTGTCACTGTCGGCTGCTTCATCATTCTCGAACAGAGAAATCGCTGTGTTTGAACTGCTGACCTGACTGGCAGCCCAGTGCCTAACTGGCTCCCTGATGTGAAGACAGATGGGTGGATTTTCTCTAGATTGGAGAGTGGTCTAGATAAAACCCAAAAGTTAAAAGAGTTACTGAAGAATATCAGAGTAACATTGAGCATTCAGTGGTTAATTATCTGGAAGTAGACCTCTCCTTCCCATCGCTTTTCCACAGAGCAGCTGAGCATATTGACCATGCTCTGCACTGACCTCAGGTGAACACATTTAATATCACAGGTATGAGGATGGGAGAACAGGAGTCCACTTCGCTTCTGAAGTGATGAGGAGTTACCTTAATTGCACTGTGTTGTACTTGTTAACCAAACAGATAAACTCACTGCTTTGACAAAGTGCAGCCAGAGGGCTCTTTGGAGGCAAGGATGGTGAAGCTTTGTATCACATATGTTGAGTATGTTGCTAAGAGAAGCCATTCCTTGGAAAGGAACATCATGCTTGGAAAGATGGAAGGTTAGCAAAAGAAAGAAAGGCCCTCAATGAGAAGGATTGACACAGTGACTGCAGCAGTGGGCTCAAGTATGTCAGAGGTGGTGAGGATGGCACGGGAAAGAACAAGATTCAGGTCTATTGTTGACAGGGTTGCTATGGGTCATACTTGATTCCATGGCACCTAACAACAAGACTGTCAAGTCAGTCTGGACTCATGGTGACCGACCCTCCATCATGTTTTCAAGGCAGTAAATCTTTACAGAAAGAGGTTACCCATCATTCTCTCATGAAACTGTTAGTGGATTCAAACTGCCGACCTTTTGCTTAGCAAACCAACATGTTACCGACTACACCAACGTGGCTCCCTGCTCTCACATAATTTTCACCTTCCAGGGGCCTCAAGCAACAGAGCAAATTGCCAAGAGTGGGTTCAAACTTTCAGTTAGCAACTGAACACTTAACTGTTGGTGCCACCAGTGCTCCTTTCCTTGCACGATAATGTCAGATTTTTAAATTGCTAGTGTTTAAAATACTAATACTAATTTTAAAAATTAGTTAAAATATTTGAATTGAAATTTTATATAGTGATCCTTACAGCCTAGAAGAGGCTTCCATGGTGAGAATTTTGGTATTTGGCTGTGGCGTTAACAAACACAGATCATCACTTGGATAAAAAAAAATGTATATTCAGTCTATTTGACCATAAGTGTTGTGTAATCCAGTAGGGGGATTTGAAGAGTCACATAAACTGGTGGTTATTCTTTTGCTACTCAGAAATTAATTTGACAGGGAGAGTTAACATCAAAATAGGGTGATGCACTAATGGCAGAGTCTGTAGCAGGTTGCACTGCTGATGAAGAGGCCTCAAGTCTTTGGTAGTTTGAGTCCACAAGTGGTTGCATGGGAGGGAGATGGGCAGTATTCTCTTATCGAGATTTATCGCCTCAGGAACTCAACAGAAGAGTGCTGGAATTCAGGATCTACTCAATATTTTGAATTTGAGTAATGCATCAGAGTGCTGGACAGTGAATAAGGAGGTTAGAAGAATTGATGCCTTTAGTTGTGGTGTTGGAGAAGAGTATTATACATAACATGAACTGCCAAGAGAAAAAACAGATCTGCCCTGGAGAGGATAACCCCAGGCTGCTCCTTGGAGGTTGTGATTTTGAACCTCCTTCTTACATACTTCGGGCCCATGGCCAGGAGGGACCAGTCCTTGGAGAAGGACATCATCCTTGCAAGAGTGGAGGGTCAGTGCACGAGAGGAAGATCCCAGATGAGATAGATTGACACAGTAACTGGGGAATGGGGATAGTATGTTAGAGACAGTGAGATTGGCTCACGCAGAATAAAACAGAATTCAGAGCTATTGTACATAGGATAGCTGTGAGTCGCAAGTGACTCAACAGCATATAACAACAACAATGATAAGGATCCCAAGTGGTATTGTGTGTTTGTTATATGTTGGGCTGCTAACCAGAAGGTCAGTAGTTCAAACCCACTAGCTTCCCTGTAGGAGAAAGATAAGGTCATCTCTTGTAAAGATTCATAGCCTCATAAACCCAGTGAAGGGTTGTCATTGGTTAGAATCAACCGCAGGGATCCAGGTGACCCAGTGGTTAGAGAATGTGGTTTCTAATGGAAAACTCAGTGGTTTAAGTCTGCTGGTTGTTTCTCAGAAGAAAGAAGAGCCAGTCTGTTTTTAGAAGCATTTACTGTCTTGGAAACCCTGTAGACAGTTCTGCTCTGCCCTGCAGAGTTGCTGTGAGTTAGGAGTGATCCCATGAATTGTTTGTTGTTGGTCAGTTTTTGTTTTGAGGGTATTTTTTGGTGGGTATTTTTTGTGTTTTTTTAATGCATGACAAAAAGAAAACTCAAAAGCAAAACAAAACACTTCTTGAATAATTCTGAGAAATCTGTTTGAAAGCTTTCACTAAGATTCGTTGTGCTGACTGAGGAGCCCTGGTCTACAGAGGTCAGTGCTTACTGCGGACGTAGTCAGTGGAGCTGCACTGTTAACCGAAAGGTGCCACCTCTTGTCAGTGCGAATCCACTAGTCACTCTGCAAGAGACAAAGGGGCAGTCTCTTCCCACGTGATTTATAGCCTCTGAAAACCTGCTGAAGGGGCAGCTGTTAGGCACCTCTGGTGGCCTAGTGGTAAGAAGTTGCACTGCTAACCCAAAGGCGGTTGGTTCTAATCCATCAGCTACACCTTGGGAAAATAATGAGCCATCTTCTCTTGTGATTTACAGCCTCTGAAAACCCACTTGGAGGGTCTGCTAGGAGAGTTCCGACTCTTGCCCCAGATAAGTGATACAAACTAGGAAAATGACTGAGTATAGCCTCTTTCATGAGAAGTGAAGAAAAGACCTCATTTTAAAAATTATAAGTATTTCTTGGGAAGAGGGATTGTGAGTAAATTTAATCTTTGGTTGGCACTTTTTTCTTAAAAAATTATACTTATTTCATTAAAATAATCCCTCCTCCCACCCCACATTATAAATCGTGAACTCTGTGCCTGGATGTTTGTGCTGCCCTCATCGTCAGCCCCTCTCTTTGCCCAACCTCCAGACTGTCTGTGATTGTGGTGAGGAAGAAATGCGTGCCACGATTCTTTATGGAAATGAACCACACTTTGCAGAACCCACCCTCTGGCACTATCGTGGATTCAGAAGCAACCCGTCCTGATTGGCAAGTATCACTGGGAAATTACGTTTTGTGAAAACATTCCATGGGTGTTGCTTAGGCTTGACTTTTTCCACATTCATCCTGTTTCTCCCCAGGTATGACTTTTACTTGATCAGCCAGATGGCCCGTCAGGGAACTGTTAATCCCACCTACTATAATGTCATTTATGATGACAACGGCTTGAAGCCGGACCACATGCAGAGGCTTACGTTCAAGCTGTGCCACCTGTACTACAACTGGTCGGTAAGTGGGAGCCTTTTAGTAATGCAAGTACAGACACTCAGGTTCCCCCCAGGAACTGCTGTCAGCTCACCTTTGCATCCCTAGAAGAGCCCAAAGCCTGGCTTTTCACGAGGGAGGAGCAATAATGAATGACTGACTCTTCAGTTAAGCTCACAGAGAGAAGCTCTCAGCCAGAGACAGAAACAAAAATGCAACAATTATGATAAAACATATTTAAATTAATATATGTTTTTATACATGTAATTTCTAGTGGACTTTTGGAGTCCACAGTTGTGCAAAAGGTTATTACTCTCTGATCTTTAAGTCAAGAGCTAGGCAGTTTGAACCCACATGGAGGTAGCTCAGAATTCAAGACTGGTCATGTGATTCTGAGCTGTCCACCTTGAAAACCTCATGGAGAGTCCTCCCCTGCACACATGTGGTCTCCATGAATCATAATTAACTCGGCGACAGCTAACAACAAAGAGACGAAAATTTGTATGCATCTTAAATTTGTAATCTTGTCAGGAAATGGGTTAGTATTTCCGTGTTACCGATGGAGAAGTTGAGACTACTTGGCAGCTATATCTAGTGGGCATGCTCTGTGCGCCTGTGCACCAAACCACAACTTGCCCCAAGGCCAAGGAGTCAGTTCTCTGACCCCCATAAGTTAGAGAAGCCCTAAGTGGTTTCCACATAGCAAGCCCTACTGCCCCCTCCCCACCTCACCTTGCCCAGTGTATCTAAATTTGGGGGGATCAAAGTTGCCTGTTAAGTTGAGTTGAATTAGTGTTTACCCAGAAACACAATTGCATATTCACTGCATGTTATGTTTCACTCTGAGATGAAAAATCTTTTTTTAAGACCAAATTATCCTCTTCATTTCCATCAATACTCCCCCCCCCCAGGGCTTGATCAGTGTCCCAGCTCCTTGCCAGTACGCACGCAAGCTGACTTTCCTGGTGGCACAAAGCATTCATAAAGAGCCGAGTTTGGAACTGGCCGGTTCTCTCTTCTACCTGTGATGAGAACGAGCTGAAAAATCCAAGGAATAGTGAGGATAGCGTGTGTAAATCTGCCATAAAGCCAAGACTGTGACGGGGCAAGGGGGTTGAGCTTCAACTGTTGAAAGAAACAAAGTAACTCAACTTGCAGGGCTCAAAAGAAATGTATGTTATTTCACTGTAAAGATGTGTATGCTTGGTGTAAATTTTCATTGTGGTATATGGAACTAAAATACGTCATCGATGAAGAAGTATCATCACAAGGCTAAATATCTTCTAAGAAAACGTGTATTTGCGTGACATTTGGATAGTAGATAAATAGGATCCAGTTCCTATTCTTAGGTTTGTAGATGTTTTCTGAAACATATGTTAGAGTTTGTAGGATACTTTGAAAAATAAAGATTCTTAAAAGCATCAAATATGTCTTTTCCTTTGAATTCTGAGTTAATGGAGCCTGTCATTCTTTTTTTTTTTTTTTAAAGTACTTTCAGGGAGGAAAAATTCTCACTCGCCAACCTTCACTTTCTAAATTATATTTTTAAAACAATTTATCACTCGTGCTCTTGAAGGGACTTTACTTCACTTAACAGCCACCGTTCCCAATGATGATCTTGTTCCTTGTTGCCCTGCAGAAACAGAAGAGAACTTGTACAGGCTCCTGGTGGACCTTCCCCCCACCCTCATGTCCAGCATCTGGGTCCATTGACTCTGCCCATACTCTAGTCTATGCTTTTGTATGAAGCTGTCCACCAGCTTTCCCTCAACAAGACATTACATAATGACCCCATGGATGTAAACACAGTGGAGATTGTGAAGATGGCAAAGGATCAGGCAGTATTTCAACCTGTTGTTGTACATAGGGTTGCTTGGAATTGGTGTTAGCTCAATGGCTCATAACAACAACCCTCAGTCCTGGGGGTACATATGTTAACATGTATGGCTGCGGACAAGAAAGTTCACCCAGACATGCCTTGGGGGGAAAATGCATTTTGATCTACTTCTGAAAAATCAACCACTGAAAATCCTATGAAGCACAATTTTTACTCTGACATACATGGGGTCACCATGGTTCAGAGTTGACTCGGCAGTAACGCCATGTGTGTTAAATATGCACACAAATCCTGTTCTCTCTGAACCACAAAGGTTGCTGCTCTTGTATTTAAATCTCTTCCTTTCCGTATCAGTGGTTTTTTAAAATTGTTTTTTCGTATCAGTGTTTTTAAATCTCTTCCTTTCTGTTTCAGTTTTTTCCCACATGATCATTCCACCAACATTATAATTGTGCTCTTACTTCTATTAATAACTTCCTTCCATCTAAAACAGGAAAACCACTTCTCCTTACAGTTACCCCCTTACTTTCCCACTTTGCTTTCCAGCAAAACTTTTCAAAAGAATAGTCTTGTGTTGATCCATCCAATTTCTCATAACGCTTGTTGTTGTGGTCACCGGTGACTTCATGTTGCTAATCAGATAGCCTTCGTTTGGCCAAATTGGTTGTTTTCTCCATCTTGAAATGGCTGTTGGGATAGCATACACTCTCTGTCCTACGACAGTGATTATTCATTATTGGTGTCTACTGGTTTCTCTTCATATTCTCATCATTTTCACAATGAAATATCTCAAGAATAACAGTGCCTACATAGAAAATATTGTTTGCTGATGGTGATCTTGAAAATATATACAGCAGAGCATACATCAATTAAACATATATCAATCCAGCATGTACAATTCAGTGATGGAGACTAGCTCTTTTAAATTTCTTAGCCAGTCTCATCCTCCATTTCTGAATTAGTCCTCTGTTGTGGTGGTTACTTTTGAGCAGGAAGCAACTCAAAACTGGCCCTCCAGCGGGTGTTCAGAGACATTCAATGGCAAAGCACATCTTTCTCCAATGGGGCAGCTGGTGGATATCTTTCAACCACCTGCTTTTAAGTTGGCAGCCTAACTCCTTACTAAGCCACCAGAACTTCCCGAGACCCTGGGAGGAGCCAACCAGGAACAACATGGCCACCTCCTCTCCCAGCAGCCTTTGGGCTTAAGGCCGCTTCCTGGCTCAAACCCTGGCCCAGCCTGCCTTGCCTCGCTCCCAGGGATAGAGCAGACCTGCACGTCAAACACATGCCCAGAAAAGCACTTGACTCCAAAAGCTTGCAACGATTCCTGTGCTCATGCCACCATGCTCCTTCTGGCCTGGAAGAGATTACCAAAAGAATAAAAAGGGACTAATAAAAAAAAAAAAACCAAAAAACTAAGATTTAAAAAAAATTTCTTCTAGAGTTCTTACATTAATTCAAAGCTCCAAAACTCATTATCAAGTCAAAAGCAACTCATGGCTGACCATCCAGCAAGGTTCCACGGCTATAAATTGCACAGAAGGAGATGGCCTATCTTTCTCCTTCAGAGCTGCTGTTGGGTTTGAACCAGCAGAGAAGCATGGCCTCTGAATTAGTGGTGCAACTCTCTACAGACTACACCACTAGAGCTCCCTTATCAGAGTAAAGAGTGGCCATTATATCACTAGCTTATCTTTAAAAGTAAGGCCCTATGAAGCAGGAGTGGCATCCACTTCCTAAAGAACATGCCTCTGGAAACCCTATGAACTTTGATAAGTGTTGATAGTTAGTTGTAAAGGGGATCCAAGCCTTTTGTTCGGTATGAGTTGTGCTAAACTCGAAGGCAATCAACAACAACAACTACACAAATTCAGGGTGGAAGCTTTAAATTTTGTTTCTATACTGACGATGTTGATATTTTCTTATAAAACCAATAAGGATGCAAAGTCCTGCCACTTGACCAGCTTTATGGAGCATTTGACTAGTTCCCATAGAGTATCATGTAGAGCTATTAGTACAGCTCAAGGCTTTATACTGCTTTCTCCCACCAGGGGGCACACAATGACCATGGTCTGAAAAGGCCCCGCTGCCTTTCAATTATTCTCACCTGAGAATCGTTCTGCTCTCTGCTGAGGATTTGCATTTCCACCCTCACTGCATTGAACTGGAATCTATGTTTTAACAAAGTTTCCCGAAGGGTACGATTGAGATTATGCAGGACCACATGAATATGTGAAACATTCTTCCAGTGTCGGGTTGATTTGTGGCCCGGGAAAAAACCGTTAAGTACAAGCCTCCCCCATCCTGCCCTTATTTGTAATTCTCTCACTTTTCATTGCTGATGGTTTGTTTCCCATGCAGGGCTCACCCTCCAGCAGGTTTCTGAGGCTCTAAATTGCAGGGAAGCAGCTTGCTCATCTTTCTCTCTCAGAGCCACCAGAGAGCTGTGGCCTTTGAGAAAGCAACACAACTCAATATTGACTAGGCCACCAGAACTTCATCGTTTGTAAGAAGTTAACATGAGGTCAAACTAGTTAGTAGGCCTCAATCCAAAATGGTTGATGCCTGCATGCGACACAGACATAGAATAAAGATGTTCTTGGGCAAAGAGGCACAGCCAGAGGGGAGAGGTGGCCTTGGGAATAGAGACAAAGATTGGAGTAACATTGTAAAAAACTAAGTAACTCCTGGCATTCAATGTGAAGGAGGCAGGGAAGAGTCTTTCACTAGAGGCATTAAGAGAGAGTATAGCTCTGCTGACAGCCTGAATTTAAGCTTCTGGGCTCCAGAACTGCAACAGAATACATTTCTGAAAGTTTTGGGGATATAGATATAGATAGATATAGATATATAGATATACTATTTCATTCATATAAATTGTGTTTCACACATTCCTTGTATTTTATACAATCATTGCCATAGCTTGTGTTTTATAAAATTAATCACCATTGATCTTTGCCCACTATCATCCCATCTTTGTAGTTCTCCACTGGATCTTTCCTAGTTCTTTCACCACCACCCCTTCCTCCTACCACCAAACCCTGAGATCCTGTGATTTGCCCTGTTCTCCCCCTTTGCCCCATACCTCCACCCATTCCCCCTGAAGTCACTCATTCACTGTGAAAATCTGCACCTACAGCCTTGTCCATGAGCTGATGTGGATGCTCTGGCCAGGTTGATGTCTACTATTCTGAATAATAGCTAGGATCCATTCCAGGTTCACATTATATGATTGATTCGTTTGTATTATTATATGCTAACATTACATAGCTTAATTTTGCTTATTTTTTATTTTTTTATTTTATTGTTTTTGTGTGAGTGTACCATCAAATCAGATCTGACTGGTACAGGAGGAGATTGTCCCTCCTTCCCCGGCAGAGCATCTGGTGGATTTGAACCGTGCGCCTCTGAGATTGTAGTTGCAGCTCCTTGCCACTAGGCCACCAGAGCTCCCCTTAATTTTGCTTATTTAGATTTGCCAAGAACAGAGGACAAAGAAAGCACATACCAGGCTTCAGAGCAATGGTAAGTTTGAATCCCAGATCTACACTTGCTGGTCGTGTGGACGTGGGCAGGGCTCCTAATCTCTCAGAGCCCCAGCATACTTAGCTATGAAGATGCCCAACAGTGTGTACATTTTAGGGTGGCTGTGAGGACTACAAATAACAAATCTAAAGGATCTGACTGTAATAAATATTGCTAGGTGCCATCAAGTTGATTCTGGCTCATAGTGACCTCATTACTTACAACAGATTGAACCCTTGCCTGATCTTGTTCCATCCTTCCAATCTCTGTCTGAGCCTAAAAGTTAGTTAACAAATCTCCCTCTTACTGCCCCCAAGTTGGAACAGATCCATAGCTGACCCTCCATTGAGTTTTTTGAGGCTAAAAATGACACAGGAAGAATTTGCTCAGTTTATCTTTCCCCCATGGAGCTGCTGACGGATTCAAACCCCCAGAGGCATGGCCTTTGAGTTCTCAGAGCCACACACTATGAGGCAGGCCATTGGAAATCCCTCTTTAATAAATAGCATCATATTTTTAAGAATTTTTCCTGGCATGTTGTTTAAGTGCTCATTTGTTTACCAAAAGGTCCATGGCTTGAACCAAAAAGGAAAAGAATCCCGTGACCTGATCTGGTCAGCAAGGACTCATGAGTTATTAGTATTTTCCTCAGTCTACTACCTG